ACCTTCACCACACCGTCATAGTCGGTTGAAGCCAGATAATTCTTAATGTAGCTGTTCCAACAGATGCAGCTAAGCCTTGATTTGTTTGCCATTTCAACAGCCGGATAATGAATATCAACAGAATCATTGAAGAGAGAATTAAATTCATATATCTTTATTTTTTTGGAAGCTCCAGCAGCAGCGAAGTAGTCCATGTCCCGGTCAAAACCTAAAGAGAATATCACATTCGCAGAATTGTTGAACTCCCCAGTTCTTAATGATCCACGGACTTGAAACTTACTATATCTAGCATATTTGCATAGACCATCGAAGAATTCCCCAAGGCAATCAGCTGAGTTATATTTTTCGCCAGCTTCTTTTTCCGATTGCCAGTTTTCACGGTTTCGCAACAAACTCTTGTCTTGGCGTAATGCAGCATGAGCCTCGGGAACTTGGACTTTGCCTCTCGTGGAGAAATAAGCACTCTCGAGCTGACTGATATTTCTCATCAACCTCATCTCCTTTGTATCAGAATTTGAGAACATTGGAGCGACTCTTTCAGCACTTAAACTGTCATTTTGCTGGGAAGTCTGTTCCTTTGCATTATGGATGTCAAAGTCTAAGCGACCAGGTGTTGCTGATCTCTCTGAGCAATTCCGCTTCTCGATCTCCTTAATATCTGCTTCTAGGCACCTAATGTCGTTCCCTAACTTGGAGGCATTACTCTGCTTATGCTCTCTCAGTGATGCAAGAAAATATGACAAGAGCTCCGATTCCGCATCATCTTTTTCAATCGAGGATGACAATTCTTCCACAGACGCTTCAGGCAATCCATTAATCACATCAGATTGAAGAATCTCCCTGTCATATAATGAGAAATGACCTTAAAGGGACCGCCAAACGTGGTTTAGAGATTAAGCAAACGCATGGATCTCATATAGAGTAGAGTCGAGATAGAATGATAACACAGTGGAAGATAGACAGGGAGGCCTATTAACACTCTACTTGTCCTCCACATCGTGACATAAGAGTAAAAAACAGGCCATATGAACATTGAGGCCTGTCGGGACTCGAGAGAGCACAATTTAATTACCTAAGAAAGTGTTCGACAAGCATTAAATTTCCCATGCGCATCAACAACAGTAGTGTACAAGTGCCGGAAGAAGAGTCAAATTCAATTGGGTCAAGACCTAATAACTTGGCATATGGAAGTCAATCTTGGGTCAGCTTAACTCTCAATTGCAATCGCCTAGGTGAAAGTCAATCTTGAAGGTTTTCTTATACAATTTAAACACATTCAATGTTTTGGACCTTCAGCTGATGAAAGAATAATACCTGGTTGTTGGACGTGAGAAAGGTTCAGGATGAAGTAGCAGAAGACAAAATGCAGCTTCCTTCAGATTCTCGGACAGAAAATAAGGAGGAAGGATTCTGTTACACAAGTCCAACATGGCCATAGCACGCGCTCCTTCAGAGTCAAAACGACTAAGCAACTACAGAAACACATAAGTAAGATCGTGATCAAGATTCTAATGCAAAAAATTGATATCTTGAAAGAAACTAAGCCTTGCTAATTGCATATTCTTATTAGGGAAATCATCCACAGTTGCAGAACCAACGACACTGAAACTGAGATATCCACATGCAAATGGGGGGAAATGAAATGGGATACTTTAACAGGTGAATGTTGACACAAGATTTAAGAGTAGGGCCGGTCGGATGTTTTTAGATAAATGAGGAGCAGATAGCGCACCTCAAACAGCAGTATACCCAAAGCATAAATATTTGACGACAGTGTGCATATTCCTTTACTCAGCTCCTCAGGACTCGCATACCACTTCGCTTCCAATGGGTCAGTTTCACTTGTTAACGGTTGTTTTTGGACTGCATTAGATAGCCAAGGGAAGCTAAGATTGCTCGTAGATCCATCTCTTGCATTTGGATTGCCTCCACTAGGCTCATAAAGGGACTGATGTTTGCTTGATAAGCCAACTTCTTCAGTTTTGAGTTTGACACCAAATTTCGAGCTGAACTGAGGCCACCTATCACCAGACTTCATGGTCTCGCTTAACTTTTGTTTCTTCACATGCAAACCAGCAGAGGAAAACATTCCATGATCTGTTAGCCTCCTTTTAATTGCATGATTACCGGACCAAGGCACATCTTGATCCATTCCACTCCCTAGATCGCTTCTTTTGTCAACTGATCCCAGATAACTTACCAGTTTTAATGGCAACAACTTGAAGCAAGAGGGCATTAACTGACACAAGACAACTCCTTGAGAATGGTAGCTATCAACCAGATCCACAATCTGCCTAAAGATATGAAAGCATTCAACTTTATCTACCCCATGGCGTCCAACGTTTAGCCATTCCCTCAAACTGACTCCTTCATCATCACTACCGCTATTCCTTGGCCTGACAACACCAACAGGTGAAGGCATTGCAGGTTTCTCACCCATACTCGTTGAAGCACTACTAGCTGTCAAGTTAACAGTTGCAGTCTTTCCATTGTCCTGATCTACTGGCTCAGGTCTCATTACATTTTGCGGAGAACCTCTGAAAACAACCCCCTTACCCTTCAAAGTATTCTTTATAAAAAAATCAGTAAACCCCGACTTTGACAGAATCTTTGTCCGTATACCACCATGGGAAACCATGTCCCTAACCTCTGTGTGTTCAGCATCTGCCAATTGTCCGGCAGCCTCGTTGGAGATAACATTTGAAATTCCCTTATCCAAAAACTCAGAAGAGGATACATTCTGTGGACCACTCTCACACAGCCTCACAGCCTGATTATCTCCGCTACGCCAAACACTGCTGCGAGAACTCCCGCTTCCCAACCTTACTCCAGGATGATAAGGCTGCTGCCACTGACTCCACCTGGACTCCATTTTCTCCCTGTGGTTTGATGTGCCGACTATAGCCAAATTAGAACCACCATCATAATTCTTCACCATCAACTCCTCCACCATGTTCCCTGCATCATCCATATATCGAGGCCTTGCACGCGGCTGCTCAGAAGGATCCTCCGGGCCTAAGTTTGCACCGGGGGTCCTGCCCTCCAAAATATCAGAAATCCCATCAAACGAACTATTTAAATAGTCACCGTGCCCAAGAACAGCCTCCTCGGACTGCTCCAGCACCACATTGGAGGCTTCAGGCTGTCTCAAGGAATACTCACTCTCCTTACCACGGAAATGCACCACCTCCTCCACCAAATCACCTTGAGCCAACTCATTCCCTAGCTCTCCGTCCATTACCAACCAATTGCTCGTTCACCCAACAGTTCACCTCGCCGAGTTGCCAGTCCTGATTCAATCAATTGTCTCTAAATCCTCTACTCCAGAGGAGTTAAAAAGGAGCTCAAGAGTCTAAACAGAAAGGAGAATTCATTAATTCAACAGCCACGCCGCCTCCTCTACTCCTGCTCCGTCGTCCCCTCAATGAAACTACAAATGCGAGGAAACTAAAACCAAAAATTCAGCCGGCGGAAGTTACTAGCACCTTAAGGGAGCTACCACGGCAGAGTTTCAGGCAACAGGAAGCAGCATCGAATTTTTCGCAGATAAGAAGGTTCAGCAAACCTGAACGAGGAAAATCACGGAGAAGCTAGCAGGGAGCAAGCAATTGAGCGAGCGATCACCATTTTTTCTTCCCGGAGTTGCAGAAGAAGCAGGAGACGGCGGGAACAGAGCAAAGGCGCCGGTTGAGTTGAGAGACAGTCTCGTCCCCGGAATCCACGGAAGGAGAAACCGAAAGACGAGGAAGAAAACCCTAGAATTCGTGAAGAGGAAAGAAGTGGGAGGGGGGAGTTTCTGGAGGAACTTACGCCCAAAACGGAAATGGAGGAAATCGATTGCAGCAGCAACGCCAACAACGAGTGTTATCAATCTCCCTCTCTCTCTCTCTCTCTCTGTCTAGAGCTGCTGCGGTAGCTTCGTTGAGACGTTTACTTGCGTCGCTTCTTACAATCGTGTCGTTTAGGCATTTCAGGGAATTTTTGGACCTTATGATTTGATGTTTCTTTTCCTGTAATTAATTATTGAGCACCGTAAATTAAATTCGACGTTATAACAATTTCCGTGGCACTGTGTGTTTGCCTTTGGATCCACAGAATCATCTTTGAAAATTCAAGAATTGACGGTTAACCCGTCACATGGCAGTTTCGGATTGACTTATTTTATCCGATTTGTTTAGGACGCGCGTAAAATTCGTCTATTAGGTGGGACGAGTATGAGCGCACTATTTTGAATCTAATGTGCTTCAATACATCTCATAATAAAATATCTTAACTCAAATTCGACTTATCACGAAGCGAGTATAGATATCGAAATATCCAGCTCGACCTAATAGATTGTCGTTGGGCCGAAACCCGAACCGAAAACTAGCTGTTGGAGAAGCACAAAGGTTCAAATGGCGCATGGCGAAACCGTAGAGGCAAGGCTGGCGGGCTGGCGGGAAAGCATCAGATGCCCATGCTGCTATGCTCCTTCCCGCCCATCACGTGGCCACACACCCTCCTCCCCTAAACCGTTGGCCCATCCGCCTCCCACGTCATCTCATCACCTGGGAATTGGGATACTTCACTGTGCTTTGCCAAAATTGGCATCAAGAAACCAGCCTAGACCCCGAAAACCGGGATGGATATGTTACGATATTAATACGAATTCGTAATTGAACATCTCCGAATAGCTCGAGTTACTACTGGGACCAATTAGTTCTTAACTAATGCAAGTGGGAAATGGAGAACTGCAGATAGTTGCACGTATCTGCACAGTGGAAGATTCAATTTCCAATTCTCTTGTGCGGCTGTGGCCCATTCATGTGCGAGAACCACATTGACACCACACAAGAGAAAATGAGCAAACCATAGCCAGACAAAAAGACTAAGGGCCCCCATAACACTATCAGCTTGGCCAACTCAATTCCTAGTTCCTGGACCAATTCTGATCCTACTACCCACTTCATTCAAACTTTGCTGTATCCTACAGAGAGTCGAGGGTGGCCACCAGAAGGTCAATCTTCACTTCAGGGACAGTTAGATATCTACAGAGTAAGCCCTGGACTAAGCATACTACATGTGAAAGGGTTAAGAGATTACTTGTAACAGTTAGCATAGACTCGGTTTGTAGGCAATATCAGTCGACGGATCGAACTCATCGTCAGAGCTGGAGCTGGAGTTGGACACGGCAGCGAATGCTAGTTTTGGTCCCAGCTTTGCTGGTCCTGCAACAGTTCTACTAATACATCATCGTCAGAGCTGGCGCTGGAGCTGGAGCTAGAGCTGGAGCTGGAGCTGGGCACGACAGCTAATGCTTGTTTTGGTCCCAGCTTTGCTGGTGACGCAACAGTTCTACTAATATGAATCATGTTGTGGTGTTTTGTCAGCTTTTTGGGATGCTGATCAGAGTGATCACTTGCACCGAAGCTGGAGCACTTCGTCTTCAGCACCCCGGTCCCATCTTCAGCAGCTGTTTTTCCTGAGTGACCAGCTCCCGAAGGTGGCTGCTTAGAAGTTGTTTCCTTTGGAGCCTTTGAAGGAGTAGGTGCCGCAACAGTTCTACTAATATGAATCATGCCGTGGTGTTTTGTCAGCTTTTTGGGATGCTGATCAGAGTGATCACTTGCACCGAAGCTGGAGCACTTCCTCTTCAGCACCCCGGTCCCATCTTCAGCAGCTGTTTTTCCTGAGTGACCAGCTCCCGCAGGTGGCTGCTTAGAAGTTGTTTCCTTTGGAGCCTTTGAAGGAGTAGGTGCCGCAACAGTTCTACTAATATGAATCATGTCGTGGTGTTTTGTCAGCTTTTTGGGATGCTGATCAGAGTGATCACTTGCACCGAAGCTGGAGCACTTCCTCTTCAGCACCTCGGTCCCATCTTCAGCAGCTGTTTTTCCTGAGTGACCAGCTCCCGCAGGTGGCTGCTTAGAAGTTGTTTCCTTTGGAGCCTTTGAAGGAGTAGGTTCATCATCACTATCACTGATCTCAACAAAAATGCCTCCAGCTGGTGCTGGTCTTGCGTTTCCTGCAGTTTGAAAACATGGAGGTTTCAGCATTCAGATATGGGATATTTTATATTCTCTCTGCAAGTCAGAAAACTGCTAACAGCTCTCTCTCTCTCTCTCATTCAGCACTTGGCAACAGAGATTTCTTTGATGTCACCACTGAGGAGTGATCTAGCATTGCCCACATAAGAATAATAAATCAACTCACGCCCTTACAGATGAATTCAAGTTCCAGAAAAACAGTGAAGTCAGTTCTAATATCCAAGAAAATGGTGAAATCCAAAGCCTCCTTTGCAAGTAAAAGGATGCAGTAAAATGGAACCTGAACGTTAACGATTCAGCTTTGGAAGTTCGTGGAAAACAATGCAAGTAAGAAGAGCCTCAACCTCCCTTTAGGGCAGAACTCATTCAGATATCCTTAACCCTAAACATGGATTTTTCTAGTGTGGTTTTAGGTCTCCTTGTCATGCACTGTCAAGAAGAATGCAGGCAAGGAACGCCTGAAACTTCCCTTATTGACTGCCACGGAACCCTTATGGTTATGGCAAACCAAATCTTCAACTAACTGCTAATGATTTCACTGTTAAGTGACTCACTAATGATGTAAATGCCTACAATAAACTTGTTTACCCTCACCGTGATTACCAGAGCTACTATCAGCTTGATGGGATTTCAGATCGACACTTCTGTTCAATCCAATCTTGTCACCTCCTTCATTCTCCTTCACATTCAACTCCATGCCAAGTGCTACCCTCTTACAGACCTCAATCCCTCCTCCACTCGCCAAATCTTCCTTCTCCTTCTTCACGTTCATTTCCATGTTCAATTGCTTGTTGCCATCAACCTTCTTCAATCCTGCCCCTCCAAGAAACACAAACCCAACAACATCAGATTCAAAAGAAGCTATAGGAAATCAACAATCCATGAAAAGAAGCACAAAATTGAACTCAAAACAACCTGAAGCACTGGAAATCCCGTTTCCCTCCGTTGTCAAACGAACAATCTCTCCGCGATTCTCCGGCGGTTCTTGGACTCCCCTTCTCCCGACGTCTTCAGATCCAGCAAGCCGTACGGCTTGCAACTTCTTCATTTCCTCCCCAAGCCTATTGACACGATCCTCGAAACCCTTGGCTTTTTCAGCTTCCATTCTGCAGGTTTTCAGTTCATCCTCCAATCTCATCTTCTCCAACCTGGCCTGCTTTCTCTCCAGCCGGAGCCCGTGAATCTCTCTCTTCGTCTTTTCAGCTTCCGTCTTCCAGCTTTCCCGTTCTTCCTCCAATTTCATAATGAACAACCTGGACTGCTCATTCTCCAGCCAGAGTCCTTGATTCTCCTCCGCCTTGGTCGCAATCTCCCGCTTCAGCTTCTCTTCTCTAGAGGCCAAGATGGACGCCACAAACTCGAAACTCGACGTCTGGAACTCCGACTTCAGAGACATTACCAACTCCTTTGTGCTCCGATTGTCGACTCTGCCACCGGAATCGACTTTCGCCGGTTCGTATCCCATTCCTTCGCCGGGAATTCCCTTGCTTATAGAGTTAGGGCGCGCACCGGAAGCGACGGAAGTGAATTAGAGATTCTTTTTGTCCTCTATAGAAACAGAGTTCATTAGTCGTTGTAGCATGCTTTACGAAAGGTGTTTAAGCGGGCAAAAAAATTGTTTTGCCGCATTTGGGGATTAATCAATAATCATGTCGATGCGGTTCTTAATTGTGATAAAATGTCAACAACAAAAATTATATATATAGTCATGAAACGAAAACAAATTTCAACTAGCTGGAATAGCTCAGTTGGCTAGAGCGTGTGGCTGTTAACCACAAGGTCGGAGGTTCGAGCCCTCCTTCTAGCGAATTCACTTTTTTTTTTCTTACTCCATCCATTATGAAGCTCCCCAGCCTTCGTGGGCCTAGCCTACTCAGAGCCGAAAGCCCAGGACCAATTGAACTGAAGCCCACAGCTCTCTTAACGGAGCCCACGTTGTGGGCTTGTTTGTGGCAACGCCCAACCAGGCAACCAGACGAGAAAAAATATTTGATTTTATGTATTTTTATAAATAAATAATCAGTTTTTCGTTTGCATTTGTTTTCCTAAAATTTCACCAAAAAAACTAAATCCCCTTTTAAAAGACCAGAGAAGAATGACAGGCTGCCTTTAATTTCCCACTATTAACCATTACCTGTTGTCAAAAATCAAAATCATTTTTCCAATCAAAATCATTTCAATCTTGGTCTCCCCGTCAAGAGGCTGCAGCAAGCTTTCTGGAATTCCTCCCGCAGGTAATTGACTTTTTCTTTGTTCTTATGTACGGTCTCGTTTTGTTCTTCTGTTTATCATCGATGAAAACAATTGTTTGCTTTGTTATATTCGTTTGTTTGTTTCTCGAAAAATTGAAAAGAAGGAAATTCGCAAAACAAACGTGACGCTTATTTACAATAGGACATTCATATAAGATTATAATCAGGTTTTGTTTGTATGAGTTCCTCGTGCAGTCATGTGGCTTTCAGATTGATACTCCATCTACAGAGATTTGGTTGCTTTGATCAAGGAATCTTGATAATCAATCTCTATGAATGGAACATGTCATGCATGAACACAAAATATACATAGCATTGTTTTCTATGTCGTCTAGAATTTGCTAAATCGGAATTTGAACACCAACCAACAAATTATAATTAATTTAGTGGTAGAGTGTTAAAACGATGATAAGAATGAGACGATTAATTTGAATAATCCACATATTCTTGTTTTGTTCTTTGTTTTCTTTTTCACGTAAAATAATATATATTTTATTTGTGCTTCTAATTGCATCACCAGAAATTACTATTCTCTACCAAAATTTAGTTGTGTTATTTTCTAATATTCGTCTTCATGTTGTTGAATTCCTCGCCCTTTTTGTACTTATCATTTCTGTATGGCAAAATTCACTTCCATAGCCATAACTTTACACTTTGTGACAAATATAGCCAAATTTTGAAAAATACACAGAAATAGCCATTCCGTCCATTAATATAACGGAACTGTAACGACGGCTGACTGGACAAACGGTCGTCTGCGGTCGCCACCGATTTCGTCTATATGGCATGCCAGGGTGGATTTTAAATTTAATTATATTTATTAAAAAAATTTACTTTACCAAATTATTATTTCTTTTCCTCTTCTCCATCCTTTTCCTTTCTCCATCGGCCCCTCTCCATTTTCTCTTTTCCTCTTCCCAGAAACCCACCTTCATTCCACCCGAACTCCGCCGGCCACTCTCAATCGACGAACGGAGCAAATCAAAGCCATAGGGAGATTCTTAGAAGGAACCCAGTCCGAGCGATGCTTGACCACCATCCCTCATCGTCGCTAGCAGAGGAATCCAGAAGCAACCCACAGCAGAGGCGACCGAACCAAAGCCAACCCCAAATCTGCAATATACTTGCTCGATTAATGTAATTATTTCTCTGATGCTGGTGGTGATTGTTCATCTGCCGCTGCCGCTGCACCTCATCGTCATCTTCCTCTTCGTCTTTCCAATCCCTTCAGCTGTGGACTGGGGTTTGGCAGTGGCGGCGGTGGTGGAGACAAAACCCTAATGAATCGGCGATGTTGAAGAAGAATCACCGCCAGTAGTCCTTTTCAGCAGCCCATTCTCTGTCGCTGCTTCTTCTTCCCCATTCTCGATGCATCACCGAACCCCTTACTCCATTGAAATGGCGATAGTCGTTGAATGTGAAGGCGGTGGTTGTGGCATCGGCAATGGCAAAGGCAAAAATCCCTCTTTGCCACGATAAAAATTCCCCGCCTTCCCATTTAATCTCAACCTGGGAATCGGGATCTGGGATCGGCGGGATTTGATCTTCAGCCGCCGTTGGATTTGTGGATGACGGCCCCGTTTGAGCTTCATTGGCGGCGACGGGGGAAAGATAGAAGCTCGCTCATAAGGGAGGAAAATCAAAAATCGACTAGCCGGTTCTCATTGGGGCTCGCTCAGAAGCAGAGGGATGACATGGCCAAAAATCCGCTATCTCCACCGTGAGTTCCTCCTTGAAAAGTCCAGATCGAGAAACTGAACAACCCTAAGCGGCGGCACTGATTCTGCAACCAACCGAAGCCACCCCCAATTGAAGGTACGATATCCCAGAACCACCCTTTTAAAGCTCGATTCATCCAGAGGAGATACCGGCGGCCGCTTCCACCGAGCTTGCTGCCGAAGACGATGAAGAAAGGTCGGAGAAAATTGATTTCCAGTTTTCTGCTTCTCCTTGTATCCTTTGCCGCCGCACAATTGTTTCCACTCGACGCTGCTACTTTGCCAAAATATTGATTCGCAGATTAGGGTTTGTGGGCCAAAATATTGATTCGCAGATTAGGGTCGGAGAAGATGATGTCGGCAAGACTTCTTCCTCACTATTTTCTTTTACCAATTTTTGTTTTTTATTTTTTCCTTTAATTGAAAACAAAGAAGGGGAATCGGTCAACTGAGTTCTTTTGTTTTTTGTTTTTTCTTATTTTCTTTAATCTTTTTAATTTTTTTGGAATAAACAATATTTTTAATTTTTAATTTGACATGGCATGACATGTGGCATGACACGTCGACTAAGAGTGGATGTGTAAGCTGACGAGGCGCCATCTCAGCTTGTTGTTGACGGACGTTAACGACATTTCTAACTCCGTCATTTTTTTTAACGAAAATGGCTATAATTGTCAAGGTAGTTTCAAATTTGTGGCTATTTCTGTGTATTTTTCAAAACTTGGCTATATTTGTCACAAAGTGTAAAGTTATGGCTATGGAAGTGAATTTTGCCTTTTTGTATTTTATATTATACAATAATTGTCTTGGTTTTCATCCCAAAAGGCAAGATTTTTTATTGTGCTTTCTGCATATCATCAACTGGTTTTCATCTATCTCAAAAGGCAAAATTAGTTCATGTTTGCTTCTCTGATATCTTCTTCTTCTTTGTGCAGATTTGATTTCTCTGTTGCGGGTGACACTAGGAAAGTAATGGAGCTTGCCATGGAGTCAGACAAAGGTCAACTGACAAAAGATAGTAAAAAAGGTGCAACATAATATGCGCCCATGAACGTCTTCATCTCTGGTGGTAGTGGTAATTGGATTGTTTGTCACAAGTACTTTACATGCTTCTATTGTAACATATTTCAGAGATTGAGCACAAAATAGGACAGATCCTGAAGCTTATAAGGAACAACGGTCCGGATAAGAAAGGAAAGCTCCCGCCTCCAGACGACCCAAAGAAGAAACCAGAACTCGTCACGTTAGTTGAGGACGTACACAAACAATACCAATCACTCTACTCAAAGTACGCCAATCTTCGAGGTGTCACCGCGAAGAAGGCTCGTGTAAGAAAGAAAAGGGCAGGCTCTGGATCTACATCAGCTTCAGATTCCGAGTATTACTCTCCTGTGGAGGCACCGAGGGAAAGGAAAGCAACGAAAGCCACGAATATGAGCAGAACTGGAGAGCAGAGCGATGATCAGGAACATTTGGATGACAGCGAGAGCGCGGAACAACATACAGAGGAACCCCCAAATTTAGTAAAAGTTCAGGACAATCATGACGGGGAGGGAGGAGGTGCTCAAGTGAAGGAGTTGGAGGGACAATTGATTGCAAGTAAGTTCGAGATGGAGACATTAAGGAAAGGGAAACGAGAGATGGAAAGGTTGCTTGCAGAGAAAGCAAGTGAGGTTAGCGAGGTTGAAAAGAGGAATCAAGAATTGCAAGCACGTGTCGTAGAGCTTGAATCACAACAGCTTGAAGAAATTTTGGAAAAGAAAGCGGATGAATCACGTCAAATGCATGAAATGCAAAACCATTTGAATGTAATACAGCAGGAATTGGATCTAGCTGGCCATCAAAAGGTTGAGTTGGAACTTCAGCTGGATGCAAAGTCCAAAGAACTTACTGATAATTCGATTCAAATGCAGAAGTTAAGAGATGAATTAACAGCAAAGTCTATGGTTGAGGAGGAGCTACGGAAGATGGACTATTTGAGCAAGAAACAAGGGTTAGAGCTACAAGCATTACGAAATGAGAAAAGCAAGTTGGAAGAGGATATGAGAAAACAAACACAAGAATCAACACAATTAAGGGAGTCTAATGATAAGATGAATGCTACAATTCATGAACTAGAACAAGTGATATCAACTAAAGAAGGCGATATTGGGGTGCTTCAGAATAGAATCAATGACATGGACAATGAGGCTTCAATGGAGATTGCAAATTTGAAGGAACAAATAACTAACGTGCAGCAAGAGCTAGAAACTTCATTATCGGAAAAATCTCATTTGGAGGTTCAGAAAGAAAGAATCCTAAAAGAACGCGAGGATGTACTCAAGAAGATCAATGAAGAGCCTACACTTAAACCGATTAGACATCTTTCTATGGAGTCTCCCAAGGTGAAGCCAGTTGAGTCCACCAAGTTGATTACCCAAACAATAGAGAGGAAGGTTGAAGAACTAGCAGAGCAATACCAAATGAGCATGGAGAACCATATTCGTTTACTACGTCAGAGGGTCAAAGTTGCAGAACAAATCCACAACGAAACAAAGGATAGTTACAAGCAAATAAAAGAAGAGCTTCAGAATGAAAACAAAGAGCTTCAAGATAAAGTAGTGGCATTTCAAGACGCATTGAGAAAAATGAAAGGGACATTAATTGAACCCGGGGGAAGCTTGCTAACAGGATTGGATGTGCTGATTAGGAAGTTAGATGAGAGCAAACATCCATTAAACAAGATGTCCAGGATATCGGATGAACTTCAAATCGCTCGAAATTGGATGGCGGGAAAGAAAGGGGAGATCAAACAGTTGAAAGATAATATGGATGATTTGACACTACAACTGAGTGACAAAGAAGGAAAAGTGCTAGAACTAGAAGCAAGGCTGACCATGGCGATGACATTAGCAAGTGAAGAAGAGAAGGAGATCGATGCATTGGAGAGTAAAGTGAGAGCATTGGAGCAAGAGTTGAGAGAGAAAGAAGAGGCCATAACGAACTTCGCAGAAGAGAAGAAGGAAGCCATAAGACAACTTTGTATGCTGACAGATTACCATCGAAATCGATATACTCAGCTTAAGCGATCCATATCCACAACAAGTCCAAAACCAACAATTACACCCAAGTAGATGTACAATTTTAATTGAACTTATATTGTATTTTCATCCCTTGTATGCCCATATGAGCGGGTGCACAAAAGTTTATGATACATTTGAAAAATATAATTGAAATTTGATGCATTCTTCATGAAACACACGTACAATTTTTACCTTTATAGTAAATAAAAAAAACTCTGAAGGGTAAAATTGTAAAACTCCATACAAGCGAGCGCGGGAACCACTAACTGCCCAACTCCCGCAGAGGAATGAACGCGCCTAGCGCGGTGGCATTTTCTGTAATATTCTGTTTTCTTGGGGGCTTATTTGTCCGTTCCAGAAAGATTCCTCCACCTTTCCCCTCCTTCCAATTACCGCTCGCTCTGACCAAAATAGAATGGAATAGAGGGAGAGAGAGTGATCGGCAGAAATTCTCTCTCTAGTTTTTCTCAATCCAAACAAGACCGGAGCAAATCGACTTTTCCTTTCTTTTCCATCTCTTTTCCTTTCTTCTGAATTCCGAATCTCGCCTCATACATTCTCGTCTCACTCGGTACTACTGTTCGTCTCCTCTGAAAGAGCTTCGCTGTGGAAGGACGGTTCCGCTTCAATCCCCCGTCGCCTACAGCTTCTCTTCTCTTGTGCGCTCGCCAAATTCGAGGTGAGATTCTGCACTTCCGTCCAAATCTTGTGATGGTTATCTGATTTCCGAGTTCGGAATTGAAGAATTTCGATTCCTTCGGTTAATGCGCTGTGTGACTATTCGAGTTCGTTTCACTCGCCGCCGCGATTTCTTGCCTCCGGTTTTCCGCTTGCCGATTGCGATTCCTTTGATCGACTCTGCTAGCTAATGCTGGAAATTTGACTGTTCTTTATGTATGATCGGAGTCTGGTCTAGAGGCTATCGGAATCCGATGAGGAAACCGGAATCAGTCTTCTCGGTTTGGAAAATTGACTGTTCTTGATTCTTCTCTCTGCCTCGACTTGATTTTTCACCCCGCTTAGAGAGACGAAGTTTCGAGTAGCGATTACAGTAATCTAATTAGACATTAGTGATCGGAACTCGACTTCTCGGTCTTTTCTTCTTTCTGCGGTGGATGTGTTGATCGCTATCAGTAGGTTCCGTCGTCGATCCTCTTCTAATAAAATTCTTCGTTGTTCAGTAATTACTTCCGGCGGCATTTCAATCGAAGTAATTAAGAGTTACTTATTCGTTCTGGTGTTTTTGCAGATTCTGATCGATTTGATTCCAGCTCAGTTTGGTAGACGACGGCGATAGGAAAGACCGATTTCCCCAGGTAAATTTCCTAAATTCACTGCGTTCTACTGCCTGAACTCTGAAGCCCGCAAGACAATATTTAGCGATTTTTCTTTGATAATGGCGATTTTTCTTTGATAATTTGATATTTTCTTTTTGTTTCTGTAGATTCGCATTAGTCAACCTTTTAGCTGCTTAAATTGTCTTATCTCTGCCGATAATTAAGTGTTGACATAAACGGAACTGCTCAATTTTGACTACAATGGCTGTCCTTTTCTCCGCTTAAAATAGATTTTGGTTTCTGCGAGACTTCTTCAGTGTTTGTTAATGAGGTGCCGCCAGATCTAATTGCACGTTGACGCTTACATGTAATCAGGTTGAAATTGTCCTGGCTTGTGTGATTACCATATTTGTTTATTAAATAATAATTTATTATTATTTATCATCATTCCTTTTCCTTGCTATTATTTTATGCTCTGATTGAGGACCGAAGAAGAGGATTTGTCACATTTCGCTAGGCCTTCCGTTTTCTTTTGTGAAGTAACAGTCCTTTTGCGTTACTGTTCAAAGAAGAAAAAAGGGCCTGCCATTTCTTGCTGTGCTATCAATTCCAGCTGTTTCAGATTATGATAACTCTCATGGAAAAAAGCCAATAAGCCAGTTGAATTTTGCCTGCCGGATTTGCCAGTTGAGAGCGAATTTTCATATTTCCAAAGGATCATCATAGGAAATTCAAGCAGGCTTGCTTTAAGTTGCAGTTTCTATATATGAATCGTGTTGTCACTAACTACACCGACGGAAATAAGGGCTTTAATTAGGAATTACATTTGAGGTTTAGCTTTGCAATTTCTGTTCTGGGGTGGTTACACAATGTGGTGAACTTTGAGCCTTCTGTAAGGTTTTGTTACCTTCCACGGTCACAGAGGCGAAAGCAAGGATTAGCTCTGTAACTGTATTTTGATTTAAATCTGAGTTCCAGCTTCTGGTAGGTTACACTGTATATAAATCATCTGTCTGCAGAGGTGGCTTCTATTGATCTTGTACATGGCTGGAGCTGTACAATTGTCTCCCGTCGTGGCTTAGCTCGTTCACGTTGAATTTCGATTCCTGACTGTAATAAGTAGTTGGGTACATTTTCATTTTGCCTATCGTTTCTTAAAATTCTCTCATATTTCATAACTCCCCCTCTCATATTACTAATACCTTGATATTGTATATTAGAATCCTGGAAGCAGATTGAATCTTCATTGATGCATTTCGTCGAAGAAAGCTGACTGAAACCCCGAGGAGAGCAAATGACGAATCATGATTGGAAGAAGTCTTTCGAATCCTTTGTCCGGAGACACATCGATCAAGAGAAAGATGAGCAGCTGAAAGGCAATAAAGAAGGTTCGTCTTCTTATTTCATTCCTTCAAACTCCGATAAGCAGTTACTTTTGAAACTCTGCCTTCTTGTTAATTGGCTTCTTATGCATTGATTCATAAACTCGTTATTCCAATGTGATGCTAAATAAATTTGGGACCTCCTACAGTAACTTGTATTTTTTGTAAGTTAGGTAACTTAATTTTTTTTGCACAAATCTAGGCCATCGAAATTTTAAACATGAAATTCTAACCATTGATGGGAAGTAAAATAAAAACAGGCTGCGTATGGGCAACCGGCTGTATCGGTTGTACCTCTCGCCGAAAAATTCGCCGGAATTGTAATTCTAATAGGAAGAGTCACCGGTTTGGAAGGGGTTTTCCGATGCCCAATTAGGGTATAGGCAGCCAAATTATTTTCATTTTAAAATTAGGTTTTCCAATCCTGAATGCAAATCGCAATCTGACTCGTCGCATCTCTCTGTTCCGTTTGCCGATCTCTGTGTGCTGCTTGCCAGTGGCGGCCGGGAAGAAGGAGAGTCGCTTGTGGGGTTCGGCTAGCTTTGATTGCAGAAAGAACGGAGAAGAAGGAGAGCGTCGCTCACAAGCCGTCGGTTTTCGAGTTTATCGTCGTTCAACTGTCGTTTCTGGGTTTCGTCCATCCGATCGACCAAGAACAAATAGAAAAAGAAGAGGTATCGGCAACCCTCAAGGTATCTGTCTATTAATTAATAGTTTGAATCATTTTTACGATTTCGTTGGCTAATTACTGGTGGAATTGGAAGAAAGAGGCTGCCGGTACAGGGCAATCACTGGCGGCAGGGCAGGGGCGAGTCCTGTGGAGGTACGGGCGTCTTCAATCTCCCCGGTACAGAACAGTCTTCAATCTTGCCGAGCACCTTCAATCTCGCCGGTACAGAGCAGTCTTCAATCTCGCCGGGCGGCTTCAATCTCGCCGGTACAGAGCAGTATTCAAGCTCGCCGGCCGTCTTCAATCTCGGCGGTACAGGCCAGTCTTCAATCTCGCCGGGCGTAGCTTGCCTGCAATCTCGTCGGAAACCTAGAATTTGTTCGTGGAGTACGGGGAAGACGAAGAAGAAAGATGGGAAGGGAAAAGGAGAGAGAAGCCCGACCCTCGGGCCTCAAGTCCTCAACTTTCTTTTTCCATTTTTCCATTTTTCAATTTTTTATACAAATAATTTAATTCTTTTTTATTTTGATTTTGGCTGAAGGATTATGAATGATGAGAGAGGAACAATCAATTCAATGCATTCCAATTAAAATTTTCATTAAAAATTCTATAAAAAAATTCACTAAAAAACTTGAACGTTATGACCACCTAAATTTAGTTGTGACAAGATGGGTCAACCAAACTTATGAACTCATAATACAAAATTTATTTGGTCATACATCGTTCGATCAGGGGCCACATTACGCCCTGGTCAGCAAAAACTCGTAACTTCCAGTCGACGACAATAAATTTTATTTCTGGACATAGCAACAAAGTTAAATAGAAACAAGCATGTGTATCATACTACCATTCCATGGAAAACTTTCACTAAAGAACATGAACTCTATGATGACCAGCTAAATTTATTTGTGATAGGGTGGGTTGACTAAATTGATGAATTTGTATCTCAAGATCGATTAGGCCATACAATCTTGGATCAGAGGCCACATTGAGCCCCGAGCCCCCAAACCGGGTGCATCATCCTTGAACCCAGACTCGCTGACCGGTCAACGAGACCCTCGTAACTTTCAATCGACGACAAAAAATTATATTTCAATTCATAGCAACAAAGCTAAATAGAAAAAAGGGTGTCATACTACATCCCATATAAAATTTTCATTAAAAATATACATTTCATAATATTGAAAATAGATCAAATATAGTGATTGATATTGTTCATAAAATTATGTCTTGCTTAAATCATACTAAATATTCCAACTCGCTCGTTTGGAAGAAACACATTGTGACTGCTCAATCTCACACATGAAGTTCAAAGATGTATTTTGATCAACCAATTAGCATGTTCTACTTTCACGATTATGAGATCTCCCTTAAAGGGACACTTTGACCATTATCAAGATGGAAGCCATCAACCTAAACATTCAATAGTTAAACTCACACTATAATAAATAAACCAAGTAGTTTCAAATGACTGTGACAATTAGATTAACAATCATGAAAACTACACAATATGTATTCACTCTCCCATCTAAATGCATAAGTACATCTAGTAGAGTTAAATAGAAAAGAGTTTCAAATTGAAAAATGTTATTTAAGATTATTAGTAGCTCTAAAAATTTGATCTATAAGCTGAAAATTGATTATTTTTATTTATTTATACCATATTATTCATTCTCATTGTATCTGAATTATGAAATATGAAAGCTGGTAGTACCTAATCTTTGAAAAAGTTATATCAACATGAAATTGAGTAAAAACTGCTCCGGCTAGTCATTGAACCATGCCCAATTTGGAATCATACAACAATACATCCACTAGTCTATAACCGTAAGCCGACGCGTTAAGTAAGGCTTCCGTAATACCTTCACACTTTACGTAACGCAAGGTTAGTATTCATTACGTAAAAGAAGCCTCAATTACGTAAGGCTTCCGTAATCACATTTTACAACTGTTACGTAAAATACACATCCATTACGTAAGGCTTCCGTAATGACAGTTGTTTCTTACGTAACAGTTAAATCAGAAGCGTTACGTAAGGCTTCCGTAATACCTTCACACTTTACGTAACGCAAGGTTAGTATTCATTACGTAAAATAAGCCTGAATTACGTAAAGCTTCCGTAATGCCATTTTACAACTGTTACGTAAAATACACATCCATTATGTAAGGCTTCCGTAATGACAGTTGTTTCTTACGTAACAGTTAAATTAGAAGCGTTACGTAAGGCTTCCGTAATACCTTCACACTTTACGTAACAGAAGGTTAATATTCATTGCGTAAAAGAAGCCTCAATTACGTAAGGCTTCTGTAATACCTTCACACTTTACGTAACAGAAGGTTAATATTCATTACGTAAAAGAAGCCTCAATTACGTAAGACTTCCGTAATACCTTTACACTTTACGTAACAGAAGGTTAATATTCATTACGTAAAAGAAGTCTCAATTACGTAAGGCTTCCGTAATACCTTCACACTTTACGTAACAGAAGGTTAATATTCATTACGGTAAAGAAGCCTCAATTACATAAGGCTTCTGTAATGGCAGTTATTTCTTACGTAACAATTAAATTAGAAGCATTACGTAAGACTTCCGTAATGACTTATTACTTTACGTAACGCGAGATAAATATTCATTACCTAAAAGAACCCTCCATTACGTAAGGCTTCCGTAATGAGATTTTACAACTGTTACGGAAGATACACATACGTTACGTAATCATTACGTAACACCTGTTGGGTTTTACGTAATGTAACCTGTGAAACCTGCTATGACAGGTAAAAAAAATCAAGTTACCTTACTTCAAGGCATTGTAGGAATTTCCAATAAATTTTCCTGATCCTGCAGAATTCGAATATAGTCTCAAAAGGATCTTGGAGCTCATCAACGAAGAAGGTTCTGAAGAAAACGGTGGAGTCCCTATAGAAGGTTCGAAAAGAAAGCCTATTGTGGATTTGATCGAGAAGTTCCGAAAACAGTATGAATCGCTGTATTCACAGTACGACCATCTGAAGGGAGAACTGAGGAGAGACTTCCAAGGCAAGTGGGTATCAGATTCCTCTTCTTCATTTAGCTCAGACTCGGATTCTGATGACGGTTCCAAGGACCAAACCAGCAAAAATGGACGACTTAAAGGTGGCAAATTAACAGACGGCACAAAGCAAGAACTTGAAACCGCCAATCTTGAACTGGCCCAACTGAAGGATAAGTGCACTGCTGCAACCGTAGAAAAAGAAGTGTTGTTTCTTGAGCATCAAACAGCGTTGAGCAAGTTGCAGGAAACTGAAGAGATCGTCCGAAGCCTGAAGCTTGAATTAGAAACGCTAAATGCCGACAAGGAGAAGATTCTCGCAGAGGATGGGGAACTGAAGCAAAACCTCGACGATGCAGGCAAGGCTGAAGCAGAGCTGAATCGAAGATTACAGGGCATAACCATTGAGAAAGATGGCTTGATCGTGGAGAAAGAGGCGCTTCTGGGGAGGATTCAAGAAGAAGAGAAGATCAAAGAAGAATTGAAAATGGCGAGTCATAGGCTGGAGGATGATAAACTAGTTCTTTCCCAGGAACTTGAAAGTCTCAGGGCCGAAATCTCCAGTGTACGTGAGCAACTGAAATCTTCAGAGCTGTTGGCATCCAATTTGACACAGGATTCGAAGGTTGCAGAAGAGGAGAGGAATTCTCTGGTGGCCGAGATTTCTGTATTAAACCAGAAGTTGGAAGAGGTGCAAACAGAGAAAGATAGCCTAATTTCATGGAAGGAGACTGCAGTGCAGAGAATCCTGGACGAAACGAAAACTGCTGGGATTTTAAGAAAGTCGATATTCGAGTACCAAGGTGAGAATTCCGCCCTTAACAGTGAAATAGAAGACATTAGAGATCAACTTGCTGACACGAAGAAGCAATTAGTATCTGCCAAGCAAAAGTGTTCAGATTTGGCCAAGAAACTCAGTGTCGCGGAGGAAGAGAAGGTTGCTCTAACCTCCCATTTTTCTGAAACTGTGGCTCAATATGAAAAAATTCAGACGATCATAGATGAACTCACTGCCGAATCAAGCCAACTACAGGAGAAAGTAGAAGAGAAGCAAAAAGAGCTATCATATCTCACGGAGGATAACGCGAGAGATCGGAATGAGTTTTCAAGGAGAATTGCAGAGATGGAAAATGAGAAGGCGGTGCTACTGACTCAAGTTACTGATCTGCAGAGGTTGCTGGATGAACAGGCCGAGATGTGCAAGCAACTCAACGAGCAACATCAGCAAGTTGAAAAGAAGGCGGAGGATCTGAACAAGCAAGTGCGTTCCATGGATGAAGCTGTAGCTGAACTGAGAGAGAAAATCGAGAGCCAGGAGAGACAACTCGAATTCAAAGATGAAGAGCTGCGCAGTTTATCTGTGAAGAACAAAGAGATTGAATTCCAGCTTACAATGTCGAGCCAGAAGAGCCGGGTCACAGAGCAGGAGCTGAACGAGAGAGTAATGAACATGAATCAAGAGAAGCAAAAGTTGAACGAACAAGTGAACAGCTTAGCTCTACAACTGCAACACTCGAGAGAAGAGGAATCTGCACTGAAGAACAAGGTGTCGGAGTTGCTGGACATGGCGAGCAAAGAGGAAGCTGAGAAGCTGAATCTCACCAAAGCCATCAGCCAACTGGAGAGTAAGGTGGCAGCCATGGGAGCGAGCTTGAAGGAGAAAGATGACTGGATATCATACTTGGGAGACAAGAAACGAGAAGCCATACGACAGCTCTGCATCTCGATTGAGTACTACCGCAGCACATGTGACTATCTCGCTGGCATTCTCTCCAAGATGCCAATCAGACGCTAGAGGGCGCCTGCACCTTAGTGCGTCTCTGCATCAATCGTCGCCAATCTGAGTACAGATTCTTCTCAGTTCTTTTGTTCATACGCAGCACAATCCGATTCAATCAGACGCCACAGGGTGACTGCACCTTAGTGTATCTCTGCATCAATCATCACCAATCAGAGTACACATTCTTCTCAGTTCTTTTGTTCATACGCAGCACAATCCGATTCAATCAGACGCCACAGGGTGACTGCACCTTAGTGTGTCTCTGCATCAATCATCACCAATCAGAGTACAGATTCTCCAGAGTTCTTTTGTTCATATGCTGCACAATCTGACACGTTCATTTTTTGATTTTTTTTGGCCTCTGAAATGGCAGTGTCGATCTTGAACAAAAGGTTTTGCCTATAGGGTTTGTTTCTGGAACACAATATGATCAGTACATAATCAAAGTGGGTCGATTGCTTGCTTGCAAATCATCTTAAAACAGCGGAATATCACTCGATAATCGTATCGAAAGATGTTCAGCAGAAAGCTTTCTGTAAAACATCACATCATCCGACTCACTGAATTCACTAGTAAAATTTTGCCCTACGTAGATGGAGCCTAAAATTTTCCGTCGTACCTTATTGCCACAGCCAAGTTATAAGAAATCTAGAGAAACAAATATGGGTTCAGGTGGAGATCACAGAGCAGGCGACGGACGGGGTTATTAAAAACACAGCGCTACAAGTTGTGTTCCTTCTCTACTAATCTGACTCACTCCACTATCACCAAAAATCAGGTTCATTCATCACGGACAGCCGATCCACCCTTCTCCTCCGAATACGCTCTCCGCTGGATAACGAGAAGTCTACCTTGTCCACCTCTTCTACTGTGTTCAGTCGGAAATCCTCATCTCGACCCCAAGAACATCCTTCACCATCTCGTAAGTCACAAACGCAATGGCTATGGATGGGACCACCTGAACGAGAACATTGCAGATAAAGTTTGTACGTTACAGAAGTGAACGATGGTTAAAGTAAGTAAAAACGACTCAGATTCGATCAAGGAAATTGAGTATATTGACTGACCTTTACTGAATTAGGGACCAAACCCTTGTACAAGGCACCGAACCCCTCGTAGCGAACAGTTTTCCTGAAGGCGTCGACCATACCGGTGTATTCAAGTGGTGCCTTGCCCCTTCCATCCCCAGTGACAATCGAAGCAGCATCCTTCCACCCTACCATTTGCATTCTCCGTCGAATGACATCGAGTGGGTAAGCTACTGTCTGGCCAACAGTTCCAGCAGCAGCTCCACATGCTAGCCTCGTTGTTACGCTCAGTTCGTTGTTTTCAACCAGGTTAAATGTATTGGATTTCAGCAACCAGTCTTTCAGAGATTCATACACCGCAAAGTTGAGACCCACATATGGTACCTAACAATATGAGAAAGCGAGGAAAACATAGTTCATGAAGATTCTGAAATAGGGAGTGGATCCCCACAGCACTCAGTAGTTCAATATGATAATGGATAAGTTTGATTCAATTGTTAAATTCCTTAACTACAGTTTGATTCGATTAATTTGATCCCTGTAGGTGTCTTTTGTTATCTGCTAACTAATTTCTCTATCAAATACATCTGGAATGTTTTAGTATCTTGTATCTAGTTCAGCATAATTATAATGAAAATACACCCGACGAATATGAAAGTTTACACATCAGAAATTCAGAATAGCACTTGGTCAAACAGTAATGCTGCGTCGTTGTTATGAGTTTGGTAACAGTGGCCCTTGAAATAATGTAAAAACTGATGAGGAAAGCAACGGTAGACTTACAACTCCTATGACCGATGGAAGCCAACCTTTGTATAGCGCACGGGGGCCTTCTTCCTTTAGAACAGTTTTAAGAGCATGGGCGATGCCTCTGTACTGACTAGGAGACTTATCTGTCTGAAAAAAGACAAACAGCAATTGAATGAACAACGTTTGAAGCAACCGAAAGAATGAGGTGAGACAAAAAAAAAAAGTTTCTCTGGTAGACAAGTCATGAACTCTTACCTGGACAGTTAGGCGACCTCTAACCAAGTCCATTGGATAAGTTGCAGACATGGCGATTATACCAGCACATGCACCAGCACCGAGACGTAAAACAGGAGTAAGCTGTGCGTCATCTGTATGACAAGATTTGACTTCAGCAAAACATCAAATTATCCATGAAAGATTGAAACATGAACGAGATAGCAATGAATATCGTACCGTTCCCAGTTTGGCGCCTGTACAACCATAAAATACCCCTGTTCATCACACAAGAGGAAGACAGAAGATGCTTTGTAAGGCATATTTATAGCAAACTTGAGGTAAGGAAAACAGGAACCTGTAGGATGTATTTTTATGGCAGCCAACCAGCTAAACCAGTCAAGAAAACAACAAATCAAAAAGACCAACGAAGCAGAGGAACGCACTTTGAGGCTTCCTCGTAACTAAAGAACTTGACGGCTGAATTTGGCACAATGCGAGCACAATTTGTGCCATTTCCTTTGAACAGCCCTCTGAAACCCTCCGTCCTCCAAATGTACTTCAAGCCCTGAATTGTACCATTGTATTTTATGCTGTGTGGATTTTGGACCTGCATATATACCATATATCAAAACCTTTATCGAGTTAAGCACAGAGTTCATAATCCCGACGCAGAACTGCATGACTAAAATCAGACATATCCACCAGCTTTCAATCAACATTTACCACCGAGCTAAAGATTAATCCCGGAACGATAACATGAAATTAATACCTGGAGTAGAATTTTTAGTCTTTCTAGTGGAGCAACAGCTGTGCGGGACCTGCAACACATACATGATAACAACATTTGAGTTATACAACTTCTCTCAAGGGTGATGGATAACCATACCCATGATGTATGCAGCCAACAGAAAGGGATAATTGCTTTACTCTGAAGCAATATAGAAGGAAAGAAAGAAACTTTGCAAGTGCTGAAAGTAGATGATTACATCTACCACCATTCTCCAACGAATTACGGACGATTTAACGATCAACCAGACTGAAAATCTATTCTGCACCACCAGCACCAAGTAGGGTTTAAGATCACTGAAATGAAGACTTCGTTACCCAAGATTTCATCACAACCAAGTTCATTCACACATCAGTTGGACCAAACCCCAAATCTAAAAGCGTAACAGCACCTCAATTCGTGATTCTTCACAACCCCGGGTCAGTCTACAGTGAACACCAACCAGATAAACCCTCGCAAGCCAACCATAAAAAACAAAAAACCACTAGCTAGTGAGCTTTGAAAGCAATTTCACAGAGCTCCATCCTGATTCAATCGCCACTTAGCCGAACGGAAAAGGGGAAAATCAATCTGACTCAAAAGCAGAGAAGCTAGCTATAAGTTATACCCACAAATTAGGCGGTACTACAACAATTACAAATAATTCACAACGTAAGATCGGTGAGACGAACCAGATGCTACACAAAATCGATAAACATGAGCTAAGAACAATGGATTCGATGATAATAACAGCAAGATCGATGATTCCAGGCGAAACCCAATAGAGATTTCTCCCATAACACACAGAGCAGCCGCCAAAAACGGGGGAAGGAACAGGGAAAAGGGACTCACACTCCCCCGGCAACTCCACCGGCGACGAGGGACTTGCAGATACTGAGAAAAGCGGGGCTTTGCGTCTTAACGCCTTCACGAGCTAGCTTAGCCTCCTCAGCTAGATTCACGATCGTCGAAACAGCAGCTTCCCCACTAGTCTTCACATCCTCGGACGCCATAGTCTGATTGGAGACACAAAAAGGGGAACCCTTTTTAGCGACCCGCGAATTGTTGACGGCGGCCAAATGTGCGGCGGCGGCGGCGGCGATGCGAGCGTGTGAGAGAGTCTGCTGCTTACGCCAGATTCAGGGTTCGTTGCGACAGGGAGGGGAGAAAAGGCAAAAGGGAGGCGTTTTGGAGATGGACAGAGTGAGAGACAAAGTGAAAGAAAGGGCTAGAGAAAAAATATTAAAAAAAATTAAAGGAATTAATCAGAAAGAAAAAAGCAAACACTTGCAAAGCTAAATAGGGTTTTTAATTGTTATAGTTACTTGGGTAAAGTGAAAAATTAAGAACCTATAAAATTTTATGAACAAATATTAAATTCCATCTTGGGTTCAGTCCAAATATTAAATTTGATTTGGTTATTTCATAAGGTTGATTGGTCGAAGGATCGAACCACATTATATTTGATCTGGTATGGTTCGTTTACGATGCTGATTTGATCCGGTGCGGACCAAAACTGTTGTACACCCGTATTTAATACTTTTGGTGGATAGTGAGGTGGTTGTACTTGGGCGATGGGTCGTATTTAGGCTGACACGGCATGAGCTCGTTAAACCCATTCATCTCGTACCATGTTTAGCATTCTGGCCTATACGAAGTTCAACTTACAAACGAGTGCACAAAAAAACAATGTTACAACACTCGCTCATTGCAACCTTGTTTTGCTCATATGTGATTGAAGAATCTCGCATACATGTGACACAATCAGATAGGACGCCGGCATTAATCGTTAGATGGACGTGATAACAATTTTATAAAATCGTAGGTTCTGGACTATACGAAGCTAAAAACCAAACAGTCAAATGTTGCACATTTAGTTGAACCGAAACCTATGATGAAGGAATATCGTTTTGGGGAGTGGCAATTGGCTTTGGTTGAATGAATTCTGACCAGATAAAATCATAGAGAGATCAGATTAGTGACAATGACATCTCTTCTTCTCCTGTTGCCTTTTTCAAGTAACTGACCGGTCAGGCCGGTCGACCATTCGATTATCCACGGTTTCGGTTTGCCACCTAACCTCATGATGCATTTCTTCATCGGATAACTTCAAAAAGTCTCATCCCATAAGAGGAAAATAAGAGAACATTATCGAAAACGATTTGTCATCTTTCCGACCAAAAAAAAAAAAAACTTCTCTTTTCTGGGTGGCACTGGCAAATAGGGCTGGGCATGCGGACGGATCATCCGCGGGTTTGGGCCGACTCACCCGCATTTGACCCGAATTTCGTTGAGTGGGTGGGTTTGTGGGTGGGTGACGGGTTGCGCTGGGAGCCATCCGTCGGGTGGTGGGTGGGTTGTGGGTGAGTGTGCGGGTAACCCACTTAACCCAACAGCAAAAAGATCAAAGTCGTTGGCGCTAGAGAGAGGAGAGTGGAGACGTTAGATATAAACTCGGACTACTCCTGGAGTTTGAACCTCAAAGCCAACCTTCCAAATAGAGATCCCCTCTTCTTCCCTTTACTTTTTACTCTAATTCTTGTGCCTAGATCACCGCTCTTTCCTTTGTGGAATTATTTTCCTTAGTTCTTTGCACCTAATAATCGTCTCAATCTGTAGAAAACTCTTTCATAATAGAATTTCTATCCAATTTAAAAACTAATTCTGCATTTTCGCCCTATTTCAACTACTTGTTTCCCTCGATGATTATCTTCACCTATTATCATGTCAAGTTGACTCCTTTATATTATATACATTGTGATGTGGGTGAACCCACAAACCCACCCGCATCATCCACCATCCGCCCGACCCAACCCGAAACTAAATGTGGGTGGGTGGTGGGTTAAAAATTATCAATCTGTTTAAGCGCGGGTGGGTGCATTTTATGGTCAAAAACCACCCGACCCACCCAATGCCCACCCCTACTGGCAAATGTTGATCCATAGGGTCAGTTCTGGAACGCAAATGGGCCCTTATTTTAAGGCCCAAATGATGTCAAAACGAGAAGCGCGAAACACCATTTGACAAGTGACCAACTAAGTACCAATTGGGGATGGCAATGGGTCGGGTTTTGTCAAACTCAAACTCAAATCCATGGGTTTATTCGTGAAAAAATCTGGGATAAAACTCACTGGGTTTGGAGAACTCAAACCCAACTCAACCCGCTGGGTACCCATAGGTTTTTGTCGTAAAAAATTTACAATAACAATTTAATATCAAATTAAAAGTCAAATATCAATCTCTCAATATAAATTATCCATATATAAAACATCATTCTAAAAAATTCAAGCAAATCACAAATTAACCATACAAATTGTTCAACACCATTCTAGAAAAATCAAGAAAATTGAAGCAAATCACAAATTATCCATAAACAAAATGATTAATTTAAAGATTCTTTCTCCTTATCAATTAAGCTTCTTCACTCTCCACTAGATAATATCAACTTCATTCTACACAATTAGAAAGAAAAAATTAGATGTGTCTCCACAAACATACAGAAGATTAGTTGATTAGAATATTAAATATATCGGAAAAATTAATTAGATGGGTGTGAATGGGGTACCCATGGGATGGGTATACCTAAACCCAAACTCAATCCGGTCAATAGTGAAAGGATTTAAACCCGAACCCGACCCAAAATCCATCAACACGAGTTTTACCCGCATTGACCAGATTGGATCGGATAAGCAGGGGCGGAACTACTTACAAAGTAGGGTGGGCCCCGGCCCACCCGGGAATAGTTCGGGCCCCTAGGAACTTAAAGATACTTGGATAAATTTAAATAAGTAGGACTCGGCCAAAAAATTAGTTAATATAATTATCATGTAGTCTACTAGTAGCTAATCTACTTGTCAGTGTGAAGCACTCAGGTTCAATTCACCACTACCTCGCATTTTGCTTTATTTTGAGTGCTTTCAATGATTTTTAGACTATATTGAAAGAAAGATAGCGATAACATTTAGTTTAAATGCTATTCTGAGTGATTTTTCAATGATTTAAAAGAACGTTGTATCCTTTAAAAATAATTATTTTATTTTTATTTACGTTTAATTATTTTCGGTTCACCCGGTGTCGAAATCCTAGCTTCGCCCCTGCGAATAAGATACTAATATGTTCGGGTTTTGTTTCCGTACCATCTACCAACTGAGAAGGGCAGAGGAAGAGGGAATCATGAATAAGCCGCAGCAAGAAACCGAAAGTAGGCGGCTAGCCGGCTACCCCAATTCTCCATATGCTTTCTTTCTTCAGAAACCCGACAAAAATACAATCAAATGAAAAATGTCCGTATTGCAAATCCATTCCTTAATTTGATTTCCATAAGCAAACTCGCACAAAAAAATACCGTCCACATAATACAACAAAATAAAGGCGGCAGCCATAGTTTTTGTTTATAATTTACTTACATTAATCAATGTCATAATCTCCCAATACAAACAAGAATCCTTTTTAATTAGCTAGCTCTCCTACATATACGATCTCCTCTTTCATAAATGACAACACCGATCAAAAAGCTCAAATTAAGCAAAACAATGGAGGAAAGAACATATCTAATGTGATCATGGCGAGCAGCGAAGGTCGCGAGCTGTTCGTGTGGGACTGTGGCAGCCCGTTGTACGACTCCCACGAGGTCGCGTCGCTTGGCCACCTCATCGACCGCCGGACCATGTTCCTGCCGTGGCACTCCGGCCGCTGGATCATTCATCCGCCGCCGCCTGCAACCACCGGATCCGACGCGGCCCGGCGGCGGCCGAGCACGATGAGATCATTGGCGGCGATTCTGGTGAGGAGGAGGCGGGAGAGTAGTGCGGCGGCGGCGGCAGCTAAAACGACTGCGTTTTGGCTTGTCAAGATGAGTTGCTTCGCCGCCGGCTTCTGCAAGCCGAATTCTTCCGTCGATGTAATCGAAATGTTGTAAAGCTCTTTCTCGAATGTTGTTATAATTTTTTTTTCCACCTCGAATGTATGTAACAATCACATCACTCATATATTTAGATTCGCTAAATATATACTATGTTCAGCTCACACGCCTATATTTGTGTTTGTAGGGTAATGTCATTTGGCTCAAAGTAACTTAATTAAGTCATTAAAACAAATGTATCATTTATCTCAATCATATATATTTAACAATTATTCCGTTAGAACTCATTTAAAAAATAATGAGTGGATGAGTTAGTTGTTCAAATATACTAATCATTCACCTAAAAGACTCTATAATCCCAACATTGAAACAACAAAAAGACCATCCCAACAACAAATCATGACCTAATTCACCATTAAAGGAAAGCAAATGATCACCTAATTAAGGTCACTTTTCATATCCAATGTCATTCCCCCCCGTAAACACCGACATTGAACCATATCTCCTTCTGATTAATATAATCTTCATGAATAAAAATGCGGAGAGAAGATGAATTATTGAATGTATTTTCCAGATAAAAAAGAAAAAAGAAAAGAGAGACATCGAATGAATCTTTGTCTCCTTCCGTTCATTCCTTACTCGAAATGATGATATGGTTTAATGAACACATTCATTCCAGACCACAGTCGTCTCCTTCTCCTCTGTCTCCCATCCTTTTTCGGTCATCACTGTCCCGGCCATAATCGGAAAGGAGGAAGATCTCGTTTCCCTCTTCTGGGGGCAAAACCATGAAGCAATTCTTGAAACTATGGTCGCTGAACAAGCAGAACCAGTGGATACTGAAATTCGGAATCTCGGTCCTCGTGGTGGGTCTTGCTTTCCACCTCCTCTTCAATCAATCCACCAGATTCGATCCTGAATTGGAGGCAGCAACTTCTTCTTCTTCTTCTTCCTACATTACTGCTAGGACTTATTTGCCGGTCTCCCCTCCACCTGCTTCGCTGGTTTCCCCTCCACCTGATTTACCGGTGTCCCCTCCACCAGTGGAAATGTTGGAGACGCCGTCAGATGTCGCCGTAGATGAATTGCCGGGCCCGCCGCCGGCTCCACAGCCTTCTTCTTCTTCTTCCTCTGCTGCTGCTGCTGAAGTTTCCAATTCAACTATGTCTGTGGATGGACGGCCGGATCCAGATGAGAATGAGGCGCCTGATGATGGTACAATGATAATTTCTTTGTTTAGCTGCTCTTGAGTTTTTGCCCTTTTTTGCGTCCGTGTTTGGGGATATGCAAAGACTGCAACTTTTTTGGTAGGCTTGCCATGGATGTGAGGAATTGGTGGAAATGATTTTGTGGGTCTTCAGTTTCGTACTGCTCATGGATTGATGAACATGGAATTGGTAGCTTAGATAGGCTGGGAGGCTATGTTTGGCTAACCTATGAAGTGTCTGTATTGAGCACACTCGAGATATTTCAGTTTGTTTGACATGTCACGTTGAGTGGAATTTTATGATCATTTAGAAATGGGAGCAATCTGTAGCTTTTGGTTCTTGATACTTGATAGCTATTGGGTTCTGGTCTCATGGAAGTTGAAAACTTATAATGCAGGAAAATGCAATCTGCTTGTTGGTGATTGGGTTCCTGAACCATCTGGTCCAATGTACACAAATGCTACCTGCCGCTTGATGGATGGGCACCAGAACTGTATGAAGAATGGACGCCCTGATTCTGGTTATCTGTATTGGAAGTGGAAGCCCCGCCGCTGTGAGTTACCTGCGTTTGATGCACAAAGATTCCTGGAGTTGATGAGGAATAAATCTTGGGGGGTGATTGGTGATTCAATATCACGCAACCATGCCGAATCACTGCTGTGCATGCTTTCTACGGTATGGCTTTTAGATAGTTGAATGTTAATTTGATGTGTTTTTGCTCTGGTTACTGCACAGAGTCTTGTCCTGGTATTTGCTTACTTGTCAATTTCTGTATTCCGTTGATATTATAAAGCTTCATTGTAAGTTTGTAACTATAAACCTTCAGCTTTTCAGCCCATAGGAAAATAAGGATGAATACAATGATCTTTTAACTTTCAGCCTTTTGCTTTTTGTGGTTTTGATTCAGCAGTTGCTTAGCTACTTGTGCTTCTGGCCTTTTCTTGTTGTGATCCTCATTCGGTGTCTGGTTCTGTTTTCCACCTTATATAGAAATTTGGAAATGCTCTTTCCTGCACCTATACAATATTTAGTAGTAGAGGGATGTAGTGATAATGTTATAATGCAGTGGGGGTAGTAATGCTTGTGCTGTTACGGTGTACAATAATGAAATTTCCTTGATCGCAAACTGGTTCGAGTAACTTCTGTGAAAATGTGCTCCAGTTATCTCTGATTTCCCTTAAAAGTCTCTTCGTTTAAGAAAGTTAGCATGCTTACGGTATCACAGTTGATATTATCGGATTATGTGTCTAACTTGTGATCTGCTTGCTAGTTTCTAGCTTGGCCTTGCATTTGATCTTTAGGGAATTGTCCTTTTAATGTTTCAAGAAGGTCCGTTGATTCCTCGTTGGGGTTATGTTAACAATCCTCGCTGTTTGTATAGTTTGATAAAAAAAAAATCGGCAATTTTGTAGTCTTACTGGCAAGTGACATTAATGCTCCTTGTGGCTGCCACATAGATGAAGGGTGGCTGCATATTGAACACCATTAATTGTTAAGAACTCTGATATTATGGCTCATCGGCAAGACGGCAACTAGTACATTTTACTGCGAAATGCTTTTCCTTCCCAAATACCAGCTTCATACAGTCAGCTCATTTCCTCGATGGACTGGCATTCCGTGTTAGATTTCTTGTAGCAACACTTTGGACATTCTGACTGCACGATTTAATTTTTTTTATCTGCTGGGTGTTTTCCTAGTTGCCTTATGAATTCCATCACTGTTAGTGTTTGTCTCTGCTATGTTTCTTTTTTGACAGACGGAAACATCATTTCCCTTCAGGTTGAAGAAGCTGTGGAAGTTTACCATGACAAGGAATTCCGATCCAAGACATGGAAATTCCCTACCTACAACTTCACCCTAGCAAACATTTGGGCGCCCTTCCTGGTAGAGGCAGCGATATTCGAAGACTACAACGGCGTCTCAACAAAAGAAGTCCAGTTGCAGCTCGACAAACTCGACAAGAGCTGGGTAGATGCTTACCCGAGCTTCGACTTTGCCATTATCTCGACTGGGAAATGGTTCCTCAAAGCTGCAGTCTACCACGAGAACAACACCGTGGTCGGCTGCCATTTCTGCCCGGCCGGTAAGAACCTGACCGAGACAGGATTCGTCTTCGCATACGAGAAAGCCCTCAGCTTCGCGATGAGCACCATTTTGCAGTCGAAGCACAAGGGACAGATATTCTTCAGGACATCTACTCCGGACCATTTCCAGGAGGGGGAGTGGCACAACGGAGGGACGTGCCAACAGACTGCACCGGCGAAAGAAGGGGAGTTCGAGTTGAAGGAAGTGAACAAGATCCTGAGAAAGGTGGAGTTGGCCGAGTTCGAGAAGGCCTCCGCCAAAGCAGCTGAATCTGGGGTGAACCTCAAGCTCGTCGACTTCACTAATCTGCTGTTGACAAGGCCTGATGGCCACCCTGATGCATACAGAAATTTCCAACCATTTGCTAAAGACAAGAACGCGACGGTTCAGAATGACTGCCTGCACTGGTGCTTGCCTGGTCCGATCGATTACTTGAACGATGTGCTCATGGAGATGGTGGTAAATGGTTGAAGTAACGGTTACTGAGTTTCATTCTTTGACAACTATTCTTTTTGGGAGCTGTTTCATTTGCATAATCAAAGATGGAGAGCTGCTTCATTCAAGATCCAGTTTTGGAATGTATAGCTGCTGCCCAGAAGTTGTCAGTTCTGGGTGTTCAAAGTTCGTATATTTTTGCACAGGCTCCAGCTTTTTGTGATTAATTATAGAGGAAAGTATAGTTATTTGATTGTAATCTTAATGACAGTGGCTTTCACTTTGAATGTAATGCTTTGGCCTGTTAAAGAAGATGCCTGCAGTTGCATCGTTGATTCCAAGCTGGGCTCCTGGAAGAGAATTTCTTAGTTGACTTGACTGAAGACTGATGAACTCTCCTTCAAAACTAGCAGATTTTCGTTTCTTCAAGCAAATAAGGATTAAGGCAGCATTGGGGTCTGTTTGATCCATGGGCTTCTGGAGTTCATTCATTGTCGAGTCGGACTGCCTGTTGGGCGGCCCATTGGGCCTTGTTTATATTTTGACGGTCAATGTCCTACTCATTTGAATTTTGAAATTGCTTTCCCGTTGAGCAGCCGCTGCAGCGCTCTACTGATTTCCCCCACCCATATAAATTCATTCGTCTGCTCCTTCAAGACCCCAATTCCGAGTCCCGTCAAAATTTCCGTTCACTCTCGCCCTCTCTCTCACTGCATTTCGCAACAGCTCCTTCCACAGCAATGGCGGACGTCGCGCTTCCCTCCTCCCCGATCCCGGCGAAGAAGAGGAACAGCAGGAAAGTCCTGAAGCAGAAGAAGGAGTCGACGAGCGAGGCGAACGTCCTGGCTCAGGCGCTCAGCGAGACCTCTCCTGCTGCGGTTCTTCCTCCGCCGTCCGAGACCGATCCGATGAAGGAGAACAGCGAGATTCTGTCATCGGCGAAGAAGGTCAAGGGGAAGGCGGCCAGAGGCGGCAAGCAGCAGCAGTCGTCGTCCTTCGACAAAGAGCTGGAGCAGATGCAGGAAATGCTTCAGAAACTGACACTGGAGAAGGAGAAGACGGAGGAGATGTTGAAGGAGAAAGACGAGATGCTGAGAGCGAGAGAAGAGGAGCTCGAGAACAAGGGGAAAGAGCAGGAGAAGTTGCAGGCGGAGCTCAAGAAATTGCAGAAGCTGAAGGAGTTCAAGCCCAATCTCGTGAGTTCCTTTCACTTACATTTTATTATTTTTTCTCCTTAGATGCATAGATCTGTATATTGATGTGAATATGTGATCATACTCGGATTATAATGGTTACTCTCAATGTGTTTATTGATTTTCCATCTGGATGTTTATGTGTTCAACCTCGGCATCTATATTTTGCACTCAAGGTGTTTGTTGATTTTCCTCACAGAACTTCCTGATATTGAAAGACAACGAGCAAGATGACAAAGACAAGAAGAAGAAAAAGAAGGGCGGGGCTGAAAAGAAAAGGCCGTCTCCGCCTTATATCCTCTGGTACAAAGATCAATGGGCTGAGGTAAGATAGTGCGATAGGAATTGGTGGTTTTCTGCTAGCTACCATGGAAATGTCTGGAAATGGTGATGATGATCTCTGTTCTTGTTTGTCAATTTTGTGTGTGTAGATGAAGAAGGATAATCCAAATGCTGATTTCAAAGAAGTCTCCGTCATTCTGGGAGCTAAGTGGAAGACAGCGAGTGCAGAGGAAAAGAAGCCGTACCAGGAGAAGTATCAGGCTGAGAAGGAAGTCTACTTGCAGGTGATGGCAAAGGAGAAGCGCGAGACTGAAGCCATGAAGCTCCTGGAAGAGGATCAGAAGCAGAAGACAGCCATGGAGTTGCTTGAGCAGTACCTTCAATTCAAGCACGAAGCTGATGATCAAGGGAATAAGAAACCCAAGTAATTAGAATCCCCTTACTGATGTTCTTGTAGCATTGTTTATGAATTTTGATAGTGCATCATCCTATAGCAGAAATACTGATATCTTGGTGTCGCTTGTTCTAATGTAGGAAAGAGAAAGACCCATTGAAGCCCAAGCAACCAATGTCAGCTTTCTTCATCTACACTAATGAGAGAAGGGCTGCACTGGTTGCTGAGAACAAGAATGTTACTGAGGTAACTTAAGAAGAATCTCATGCTTCTCCCTTCTGTTTTATGTTCCAGATTGCCTTCTTTTTATTATCTGTTCTCATGGCTGGAGTTGGGTCTGATTGGCAGGTTGCAAAGATCACTGGTGAAGAATGGAAAAACATGTCAGAGAAAAAGAAAGCTCCTTATGAAGAGGTCTGTTCATGGCCAGAGACCCCCTCCAAACCAGGCCTTTTACTATATTAGTAGCCTTGCAGGTTGTCTTATACACCCTTCTGTTTTTTGTGCAGGTGGCAAAGAAGAACAAGGAGAATTACCTGATTGAGATGGAGGCTTACAAGCTGAAAAAGGAGGAAGAAGCCTCGCATGTGAAGAAGGAAGAGGAAGAACTGTTGAAACTTCACAAGCAGGAAGCCATGCAACTGCTGAAGAAGAAGGAAAAAACAGAAAACATAATCAAGGTTTGCTGCTCTCTAACATCTATAGGTCCTTGATTGAGCTCATATATCTTAGCTAAATCTGTTCGGTGGTGATTATGCAGAAAACTAAAGAGATTAAACAGAAGAAGAAGAAGGACCAGGCTGCAGATCCTAACAAGCCAAAGAAGCCTGCATCCTCTTTCTTATTGTTCAGGTGAACAATTCTCAACATCATTCACCCCCCTTCCCTCCATGGATGGAACACTCAAGGAATTGTAAAATGCTGAATGAATCCTCCCCTTCTTGGTTTTGCTGCAGCAAGGAAACAAGGAAAAGCTTGATGGCCGAGCGCCCCGGAACAAACAACTCCACCATCACTGCACTGATCTCTGTGAAGTGGAAGGTAATAATAACAAGAAGATCAGAAAACTCCTCACTTCTCCAACCAAGTTGCTGGAGAATGTGAATCCGACTGATGGTGATTTCGTTGTTACATTGTAGGAACTGAGCGAGGAGGAGAGGCAAGTCTGGAATGCGAAAGCCGCAGAAGCCATGGATGCTTACAAGAAGGAAATGGAAGAGTACAACAAGTCCTCTGCTGCTGCTGCCGCTGCCGCCGGGACGTCAGCCTAGAATCAATCGCGCAGAAGTGGTAGTTGACCGTAACAGAGGGTGAATGTTCAAAGTGTCGGGTTGAACGTCAACTGGGTAGCGGGATTAGGAATGCAAAAGGCTGTTAACTGGTTTAATTTTAGAGCTCTGGCCTTTTCCATTCTGTGGTTTTCCGAGTGTCATTGTTTGATGATGCAAATTAGTGAATTGATCAACACCCTAGTCGCCAATTGGTGTTGTTCTTATATTAGGCCTCACGAAGGGCCCATCTGAGTTGGGCTTTTCTTATTCCGTGTTAGTAGCTTGGCCTTGGGCTTTTCTTAGTCCGTGTTAGTAGCTTGGCCCGATTGATTTGGGCCGTACAAGTTTGTTCTTGAAATGGTAAATCTTCTTCTCTTCTGTACCCACTCCCATCCCAGTTCCTACCTCTTCCCCCTACCGCAGAGACTTCTTCGATTCCAGTTGCCATCGCCGCCGTCCCCAAATTTACCGAACTCTAAACCGGAAACCCAAGCGACCCCTAATTCAGTTCTCAAAAAAAAAAAAAAAAAGTTCGCGCCATTCGAACTGCAGAATGATTTTTCGGCATTTTCAGACTTTGGAGTAGAAGTGTCGGCGGCAAACAAGAAACTGCTTCTGGAGTTCCGTGTGAGTTTCATCTTCTTCGGCGATTCTCCCCCAACTTTTCTGTTTCTTACCAGGAGAATTAGAGGAGAGAGAATATCGAAAGAGTAATGAATGTCTTCGATCGTGCGATCCTCTTCTTCTTCTTGTTGTTGCATTCGTGTGCTTTCTGTTACCTATCTTTCGCATTCTTGGCGATATCAATCGATCAATTTTATTTTTTTGATTCTTGATTAAGTGTCTTTTGCCTTTTTATTCTCTGCTGCAGGAACTTGGGTAAACGATGAATTGGACCAAGAGTTCCCACCTGTTTCTCAGGAGTAGTAATAGGTCTTTGGTTTCTCAATTCGGGGGGTCTAATTCGTCCTGTTCAAGTGCTCTAAGTAAAGATGTTCAATCTCCGATGAGAGTGTGTCCAGAATCGGCGTCTCCATTTAATTACTCGGCTGCTCGACATTTACATTCTGTGAAAGGAGCAGCGATCGTTGCAAGGAATGTGTTTGGTAGATATGCAATGCCGCCTGAAATTGGAGGAAACTTCTCCCGTTTGAAAGTAGTCAAACACGGGGCGGAAGCCATTTCTTACCGGTTTCAGCACGGTGCTGCAGCAAATGATAGTCGCTTGAGTAGGAATTTCCTTGCTGAGCTGTGGGTTTTAGATAAGAAGGCCGAGAAATCTGCTAAGAAAAGGTTGCAGAACAATAAGTATCGCGGTTTGCGGGTAGAAGACAGATGCTTTTCACAAAGTTCTGACCATGATGGTACAGTAGTTCTTGAACAGCCTCCTCCCAGCCAGCCGTTGTCTGGTTATCTCAAGCCAACATCCCCAGAGGAGGTGAGTTTGATGAGTTCATTTCATTGCTTGGAGAAGAACTATGTCCAGTCGTAAGGGGCCCGATAGTTTCGTACTTATGGTCTTGGTAACTGGCCTTGATTTGTTCTGCAGGCTCAGGTTGCACCTCTTCTTGCAAGGTCCAATTTACTGATCACCAGAGATATTGAGTGGGCAAATCTTATGCTAGGTTTTGAACAGGTATTTGCTACCTAGTAGAGCACATATCTGCAGTTGGGTGCAACTCAGTTATCAAATAGTTGTTTCTAATATTTCTTGAGCATCAAGCTCTTAACAACTAGTTATTTTGCTTAGATATTTTGTGTTTAGTGAAAATTGTGTTATGCTTTTCTGCTACACCACTTGACCCCTGTTAATAGGTTGTCTTTGCTTTGGTGATACTCATTGCTCAATTGTACTTTGGCTTGTATCAATATTCTTAAGCTCTTTTGTTGTTGCAGGAGAACCGTTACGCAGTCGTAGATGTTTGTTACCCCCAAGCAGTGAGTATTCTTCCATGCAGTTGCAGATATATGCTTTCTTGCTTTTAATCTATGAGATAAAACATGTTTGGTAGACAGATTTTCATGCATTATTATGCAATGTTTTGTTTGTTTTGCAGCCTGTAGGCCTCATCCGTGAACAGAGTAACCTGTTAGCTAGGCAGGTATTATATTTGTGTCTGAAGCTTCATAGTTTCTTTTGCCCCTTCCCTTGCATGTCATTTTTTCAAGTGTGAGAATATAATTTATGAACTTTTCACTTATCATTGCAGTTTCTTCGTACCAGACGTCCTTTTGTTGCCTTGGTATCTGATGCCATGGCAAATGAGTTGTTCAGGGTGAGCACTTCAGATAATGAATTCCATTGAACTATGCTGCTGTTGCTGGCTGCTTAAAATTTGGATCAGCTCAGTGTCATAGAGTTGCCTACTTTGGTTGATTTAGGTCCGGAGGCCTTTTTGGTGGTTAACTAGCTCAATATATGTAGAGATCAATGGCAAGGTAATATTACCATAGTTTGCTATACATCTGAGACCTTTTGACTGATGGTTGCAGCCTGGTTAATTTTTGGTCCTTGTTCCTCTTCTAGGAGATCGGCGTGGTTCATAGACGGTGGCACCTATGGAGGAGGATCTATGACTTGTACCTTGGGTAATCTTGAATTTGCATGAGTTTCCTTATTCAGTTACTCACCTTGCAATCAAGGTTGCACCTGGATTTTGGGCCATACAACAGTTTTGACCTTACGAACTTGGATGTTTTGTTGCTGTATGTTGTTTGAGCTTGAACGTCAGCTAGGAAGTTAGATCAATAAATTGTCACCTTAAGCTTTTGTAACTGGTCTGAAACTTTTCATAAGCTAACAGTATGTCTGAAACATTTTTGTTACTTCTAAATAACGTGTGAGGTCATAAGCTGGGAGCTCACAGTATGTCTCTATTAAAAGATTAGTAAAATTTTGTTGTGCTAGCTTACTGTGTTTTTGTGTGTGTGGTAGAAGCTTACTGTGTTTTTAAAAACCCATAAACACCTTAGACATTCCATTTAGAAATGAATCAAGCACCCTAAACCTAATTTTGGCTCCAGTAGAGCTTTTCGGAACTGACACGATGTCCTTTGCAGAAATAAGCAATTTGCAGTGGTTGAAAATCCTGGGCTTTGGAATTGGACTTTCACTTTGAAAGACATTGATGATCAAGTGCTGGCTCAGATTGATCGTGATTGGAGGGGCTTCGGGTTTGAGGTTAGCTTCGTTATAGTTGATCTATTAACATAAAATGTTCTCTACGCTACTATTTTATTCTTGTTACTAGTTGTCTCAAAAAGATTATTGTTTGATCCGAAACTTTATTGTATGACAAGTGGTTATATGCTTGTTGTTTTCTTTCTGTTACCGTTGGCGGAAATGAAGCGAAGTAGCTGAGTTTATTCTTCCTGTGATGCAATGCAGATATTTACATTGAGAAGGGTTTATTTTTCGTTGTTCATTAGTCCCGTGGCCAATGTTTGCTGAATAAGGATTATGTTTTTTCATTGAGATCTTTAGATGCCAAAGCGAGATGCGTTTTCTTTCATCGTTTCTAGTGCCTGTTGCCATTGGTAGAAACGAAATGAAGTAGCTGAGTTTATTCTTCCTGTGATGCAACACAGATATTTACAGATGCTGGGCAGTACGTGATACGGTTTGGAAGTCAGGACATTAACCGTTCTAGTCCGGTAAGCGAATCTCTCGTCATGAAGACAAGGTCTTCCCTTCCTTTTCACTCTGGCCTATGAAATTAATTTTAAGCTTTCCCCCCTCTTTGAGTAGGTTCAAGAACTGGAAGTTGCCCGTCCTCTGAGTCTCTCTGAAAGAGCCATAACTCTAGCCCTCGCCATTTCGCTGGACAATGACTACTTCTCGAGGCATGGTGGATGGTAAGCTGTTGCTGGATTGATTTGTGTGATTGCTCTTTACTCAATAGTGGCATATATCAGTGTTTGGCATTTGAATGTTTTTTCACCGATCGTTGCAGGGGACTGCCAATCGTTGCAATGACCGAGTAGCAGCAGCAGCAGCAGCGATAACGGTAGATCGCTTACTTGCTGTGTTCACCTGCTCGACGAAGATGGGTAATTACTGATGCAATTCTTCTTTGTCTGCAATGGGAAGACTGATAAGAGATTGGATCGAGTTTGTCCTGCCATGACACATAATTCACTGTTTTTCCTCCATTATTTTGTTGACTCTTTCAACGTTCTTCACCAAACGGGTACTTTTGATCGAGAAATGTAAATTTGTAACCTGCATATTTGTTCGGGTTAATTACATGGTTGGTCACTGAGATTACAAAAAACGTTCATGTTTGGTCACTGAAAATATTTAAATCCAATTTTGGTCACTCAATTAGTTAAATGGTTCAAGTTTGGTCACTCTCCGTCCAACTCCGTTAAATATGTCTGATGTGGCAGTCAACCCTCAAAGTTGACCGTTAACTCGGTGACGTGGCAATTAAAAAATAATAAATAAAATAAATTTTAATCTTCTACCATTTCCAACTCATTTTCACAATAAAGTAAAAAATAGGGTTATAAGTATAATATGCCCCTCTACTATGATGTTTTATCAAACATGCCCCTATATTATTTTTTACATCAAACATGCCCCTGTACTTTGAAAAAATTATCAAACATGCCATTCTGTTAAGATTTCCATGATAAAATCACCAATCATGGTTGAACCGAGATTTAGACGAACCGACATCGCCAAATGGGAGCGAAAATGTCAGTTTTGTCTCCCGTTTTATTTCTCTGGGTCTCTTCAAAGTGAAATTATTTGAATTATTTGGCTATACAAAAGAACAAAAAAAATTCTAAAGTGAAATGATTTGGGATATTTTAGACATTTGTGCCGCCCAAATCAAAGTTCGACTTTGGTTAACGGTTTTTGGATGAAAATTTAAACAAAAGGGCATGTTTGATCATTTTTACAAAGTACAGGGGCATGTTTGATGTAAAAAATAGTATAAGGACATATTTGATAAAACGTCATAATAGAGGGGCATATTATACCTATAACCCTAAAAAATATATATATTATAATCACAAATGGCTTCTGGGTTCCCCTCCTCTGCAACAACATCTCCTCCCTCAGCTTCCGATTTCACCGCCAAAACCGAGCTCTCCCCACACAGCTATGGCGGCTACTCCACTTCCCTCAGCTTCGGAACCCCTCCCCAAACCCTCTCCTTCGTCGTCGACACCACCAGCAGCTTCGTCTGGTTTCCCTGCACCACTCACTACTTCTGCGAGCACTGCGTCTTCCCTTCACCCACCTCCCGAATCCCCTCTTTTATCCCCGTGCTCTCCTCGTCTTCAAAAATCGTCGGCTGCAGAAACCCCAAATGCTCCCGGATCCACGGCCGCCGCTGGCGGTCCGAACAGTGCGAGAATTGCGGTTACAACGCCGGTGGTCGGCGGTCTAGGTATTGTTCTCAGATCTGCCCGCCGTATCTAATCCTCTACGGTTCGGGGACCACCGGAGGCGTCGCTCTTTCCGAAACCCTCCGATTCCGAAACCTAACGATCCCTAATTTCCTAATTGGATGCTCCGTTTTCTCGTCTCGCCAACCCGCCGGAATCGCGGGACTCGGCCGCGGCCGTTCCTCTCTCGTTAGTCAACTCGGGCTGGCTAGGTTCTCCTACTGCTTGCGCGTGGACTCCGTCTATTATTATCTTGGTGAGGGAAGAGTTGACGAGTGAGTTGAGATTCTGGGAAGGGCTTTAGAAGGAAGTGGGTGGGAGGAGATGTTGTTGCAGAGGAGGGGAACCCAGAAGCCATTTGTGATTATAATATATTTATTTTTTTTACTTTATTGTAATTTATTGTGAAAATTAGTTGGAAATGGTAAAAGATTAAAATTTATTTTATTTATTATTTTTTAATTGCCACGTCATCGAGTTAACAGTCAATTTTGAGGATTGACTGCCACATCAGACATATTTAACGGAGTTGGACGGAGAGTGACCAAATTTGAACCATTTAACTAATTTGAGTGACCAAAATTGGATTTAAATATTTCCAGTGACCAAACATGAACGTTTTTTGTAATCTCAGTGACCAACCATGCAATTAACCCATATTTGTTCTGTTGTGTATTTTTAGTAGTTTAGAAAGAAGTATGCACGGTTTATTTGGTGGGCTGGAACGTTGGTTGCTCAGAATTTGGGCCGAGCCTTTTTTTTAACTTTTTAGGCCCAATTGGGATGCTGGGCCTCAACGTTGGTTGCTCAAAATTAGCCGTATAGGGCCCAGCATTTTATATCAACTTTTTAAGCCCAAAATGGTGATGATACAACAGTCCAAACCCGTTTTCTCTTTGAAAATTCTTAATGGAAAATTGGAAGCCCTTGTTTTTTTTTCTGTTTCTTGCCCCTAATTGTGTTTATCTATTATAATGTGATTATTCATGTTAAGCTCTCTGTATTTGGAAATGATAGAGAGTCAAGAGGGGAACCAATTATTGGCTTGCAAAGTGACAAGTTGCCAGGTCGCAACTTCATTTGTTGTTAGCTAATATTAATTACTTTTATTATAATTTATATATTATATTATGGTCATTATCTCTTTCATTACTTTGACAGGCACCTAATTATTATTAATGAAGAAGAAGAGGAATTTCATACTCTAAACTAATACAAGATGTCATGATTCACAAATCACAATGATGGCTGGACCGCGTTTTAGCTGGCCCTGGACTGGTGGTGTATGCAGCAAAAGAGACGCACACATTTGGCAGTGAAGCAATTCCAATAGCCAACACACACCACACAGAAAAATGGGTTCTCTATCTTTTTCCATCGCCAGATTGCACGAGCAAGCCTAAAAAAAATTGAGCATCAAATTCATCAACAAATGCTTCCTAAAAAAAAAATAGAAAAGTTTCGACTTTATGAACACGAAAATCAACGACGACACGAATACGCGAATGCGTGAATTTAAAGAATCCTCTCCCTAGCTACATGTAGTTTCCCTAAAATACTATTCTCTTACGATCAATATCGTACGTTCAAACTTTATGATTCGGAAATGAGAAAAATTGTTCAACAATTAATATACGTACATGTATAGATAAATTATAAGAAACAATTGGTCGCATTTTCAGTGGTTCAATTGTAAGCTAGCTAGGGTCCTGTAATGGAGTCAGCATAGCACAGAATGACAGAATACATATCCATGTATAATCGGTTTCAGAATCAGAATAAATCAAATTCTTCGAAGATATTTCTAGTCAAACACGTAGAAATATTAGATTAGGCTGCAAATTACTTAATTAATTCATTGAGAGAGATGATGTTTTGGAGTGTCTCGTGTTGTACACGCATTGGTCTACAAAATTTGGACAATGATTCACTGATTGTGTCAACTTAATTATACGTAATAAATAAAGTTAATTAACTATGATCATGGTGGCTACTGGTGTATGCAGTATGCCCATAACTCGTCCACAACTTCTCTCTCCGATTGTCTTGTATCACCATTCACCACATATGATATCGCCGACCAACCCCATGGCTACATTGTAAATTTAATTAGTTTACTCTATGTGTTAAAAAAAAATATATTAGTTTACTCTCAGTACTTACTTTCTTATGAATATACTATATTTCACCATTTAGATTTACTACAGAACATACATTTTGGACTAGTTATTGAAAGAAGACAATGTTTGTTAATCTTTCAAAGTGAGATTTGCGTCCTACCCAAGGGCGACCGTGCCCTACATTTAATGGCAAACTTGCTCTTCCACAATCCCATCATTAGGGATGGTACAAAAAAAAACGTAATTGTGGGTATCGCTCGAATCCGACCTAATCAGGTAGGGTAAAACTCGAATGACTTTTAGTGAGTACTGATAAAATCCGAACCCAATTATTGCGGGTAATTGGTGAACATGGCTTTCTCACTATCCAACCCGACCGAATATGCGCATGCATATGTATTTTGTCTAAAAATAATCATTATGTTCTCTAACATATTTTATATTTAACATATAAATATTATATTTTCATAAAATTGTGTTGTTTTAATTATTTTTTTTTCATTCTAGTGAACTGTTGTTGTCGTACTTTTTGTCTTATATATAATGTAAAAATATGTGTGAATGTTAACATATTGGTTGGATTTATAAAGAGAAATTATTATTCACGGATAACCGTGGATACCCAAAACCCAAACAGGTATGAGCATAATTTTGATTTTCTACCTGTTTCTTATATGAGTATAAACATAGGTAAAATCCAAACTATTTTAATTGGATAACGAATATTCACTATCCGTATTCTACCCATTGCTATCCCCAAACCATTAACTTTCCTAAGACGCCGCCGTGTCCATTTCCCTTTTCTTCCTCACTTGGTCATAACTCATTAAGTCATAACTGACGCTCCCTGAAATTACTAATCAACCCTCCCCCTTCTTTATAAATAAAAACACACACACTCTCTCTCTCTTTCTCTATTCACACTAATCAATAATTTCTTCCAACCTTTTCTCTTCATTTCTCTCAAGACCCGACCCGACCCGACCCGATGGAGAAGAATCCGCATCGACACAGCGTCAGCAATCCCGTCATCGCGACGAAGCAGCAGCCGGCGTCCGCCGCCGTGTGGGACTGCGGCAGCGCCCTCTACGACTCCTTCGAGCTCCGGTCGTTCGAGAAGCAGCTCTACTCCGCCATCAACTCCGGCCGGACCATCTCCATGCCCCACTTGCCCGACCGCCGGGTCGCGCCCGAACCGGCCCAATCCAATACGACGCCGCATCATCCTCCCCCGAAAAATACCAAAAGTCTCAATAAGAATATCAGCGATCCGGTCCCCGAGGCTAAAAAGCGCGCTTCGTCGTCGTCGTCGTCGTCGAGGATATCCAAGTCCGTGCGGCGGTTTTTCAAGTCGGTGTTCGTTAAAGCGACGTCGTCTGGCGGCGGTAATTACAAACGGAAGGAGGAGGATAGGAAGCGGAGCTTTAACGGAGGCGAGGTCTACTTCGTGTGCGACAAGACCGGGGCGCTTTCCACGATTCCGGAGGTTCCGGAGAGCGAAAATTTCGGGCTGTCGAATATTAGTTCGCTGGCGAAGAGGAGCGTGTCGGAGAGGTTCACGGCGGCGACGACGACGGCGGCGGTGGGTGTTTCATGTCCATGAATTAGTGTTTTTTTTTTTCTTGATGTTTTTTCCTTTTTTTAGTGTGGTAATTAAAAAGGGAAAGTTGTGATACGTATATGGTAGTTAACTTAAAAAGACTTTTTTTTTAGTGTAAATGATAAATAAATGAATTAAGAAACGTAGTTTTTGTGTGTGTGTAATTTGGAGATTTATTCAATGCTTGTCACTAGTTTTGATACGTTTGTAGTTAATTTTAACGTTTTTGGTGTTTATTGCCTTGTGGTTAATTTTTCGTAGATATATTTTGGTAGTTCCTTTTGGGTTGATTGGTGATTCAGGATACTAAAATCTCAACGGTGAGCGATCGATTTTTTTTTTATTTTGTCTACGATTACTAAGATGAAGAAGGTAATGATTAAAATAGAATTTCACTTTGTTGGTATGTTGCTAATGCTTCCAGAATCTGACAATCGTTTTTTCGAGAATTACCACACAGATTAGGAATAAATTAACAAAGTTAGACTTAACAAATCAGTCACAAAATTATAATTCATATTCGCGACTCGATCGAAGCCTTTCTTTCATAGGTCATGACAAGAGTTAATTACAAGGTGGTGGGTTAATTATGTTTAATGTCTCCAATCTTTTAGATTTTATTTTCATTTCCAACTAAATTTGTTTGCTGATTGAGCTGAATTTTGAGTGATATGCTCTTTCTTTTGGTTATTTTAATTTGCATGCTTTGGTGATTTTTGTACGGTAGCTCAAGTGCCGACAGGAGGAATCGCCATAGCGGAATCCATCAAACATTAATTCAACATTAGTCTTTTGCTCTAATATAATGGAGTACTATAAATAAATATTATGTAAATCAAAGAAAATTGGGGTAGCTTAGTATTAGCAAGCGCTAGACGTCAAATCGAGCAATGAATGAATCAACTCCTTGATTAATTTACAATATCCTCCTCCTGCCTTCCTGTTTTCTTCGATTTTTTTTATTCATGTATATATTAGGGCCCTATATTTCACATGTACATAGATTTTGTAAAAATAAAAATAAAAAAAAACATAGAAGAAGGATTGTAAAATTATACCAGAGCTTGTTATTAGAAAGGTATATAATACTGTATTCTATACTTAAATTGTGGTTCAGTCATTTCGTATCATTAAAAAATCATTTTTTAATTTCTACTATAGTAAGAGGTTTCCAGATCGAATTGTCGGTATGATACGATTTTGCAAACACTCGTACATATTGGTCCCTGCATCATGGAGTAGCACTGCTTCAAATATGACGTATCTATGCCATTTCTATGAATCCATTTCAAAATTCAAACCAACTCCATCGTTTTTTAGCTAGCTAGCTAGCTCCCAAATCATTTGTTCCCGTTTCTTGGTGAGAGTTGAATGTAACTTCCTACACACGCTATCGGTGTTCATAAATCATAACCTTGGAAGAGAATCCGTGTTTTTGTGGAATGAGCCCACAAAAACAAAGAAATGGGCTCATGGCCCATGAAGTACCCTGTGAGGCCCAATACTCTAGACCGGCCGATCCAGGCGAGCCTCAAAGGCTAAAATGGCTGTGTTGTGGCCTGTGGCCTGTGTTGAGAACCTCAATACCTCTTTTGAGAACCTAAATACACTAGATACTCATTTTATCTACTCCTAAAAATGCGTCGTGGATTTGAAAAATGAAGGTTTTGTATAACTTGGGTTTTTGAAAATCCATGGATATATGAGGGTTTTAGGTTCATTATGGATTTGATAAACACCATTGTTTGTTTGATGGATTTCAAGATGGATTTTGTTAATTAAATTTCTATTTATGAAGTGTATTTTACCTTTCTTGCCCTCAATGTCAATGATATAAGAAGAGAAAGCAAATAAATATGAAGGGTATGTTGGTAAAAAATGATGGACTTCAAAGTTCATAATAAATTCCCACCTAAATAGGTGGAACTTTCAAGTCCGTGGGGTTCACGGATTTGGTCCCTTAAAATTTGTGGGACCCACGGATTTGTTTCTCCTAAATGCATGAAGCAAACAATGGATTTAAGACAAAGTCCATGATAGATCCAAATCCCTCACCAAATCCCTCACCAAATCCATCAAGCAAACAAGCCTGAGTGAATTTGAGAATGATAAGAACACTTTTATCTTTTCACAATTACACAACAGTAGCTTCCATAAAATTAAAAACAACAATCATGATTAATTGATTTCCATGGGCAGGAACCAGGGATGGTGTTCAAGCCCTAATGATGGCATCATTTATGTGTCAGCCATTCCTATTAAGTTCCATTCTTTAGCTCCACATCTTTAATCATTTTGCAGCTGGGACCTGACCATAACAGAAACCTCACGAGTCCAGACTTCTAAAAGCTGCTGTAATTTTCACAAACAGCGTCTTCCCTCAGTTATAAACTTATAATATCAATTTATCCAGTGCACTTTTTTGAACCATATAGAGGTAAAAGTTCGTTTTCTGATCAGATCGAAATGTCAACACACTACACGTCCCAAGCCACTACACCACCAAACCTTAAAGCAGGCAAGAAATGAAGGAAAAGGAGAATTCGATCGAGTTTGTTGGTATGTGTCAATCATGCTGGGACAGTAAGCAAGAAAAAAAACTAAAGCTGGATCATCATCATGGTAAAATGACCCTACAGAAAAAATGAACAAAATTCTATCTCTTAACCACGTAAAAAGAAACTTTGAACACAATGATGACCATTAGAAGGGTGTCCCTAGTGGGCACATACATAAATAATGCAAGAAGAAACTGAAATTGGTAAAGGGACACTTATATTACCTCTGAATCTTCTTTCCTCCTGCCTCTCCCCTGCAAATCCCCTTCAAAATTGGTCCTGCTTCCTTTCTACTAGGGTTCTTTTTTTTTCTGCAGTAAAAGAAAGGAAGGAGGAAATGGGTATGAAGAGAGATGACAAGGTTTGTTTAATGGTGGTGTTGTTGTTGTTGATGATGTTGCTTCCTGATTGCAAGATGGCTGCGAGGGTTGGCAGAGGTTCCAGAGTAGGTGGATGTTCTCATGTTTCATTCTGCAGCTATGGTCGTATGAACAAGGAGGTGGAGAAGAAGAAGATGAAGGAGGAGGATGAGAAAGTTGACATCAATGGAGGAAGAGCAAGAAGTACTGATGAAGGTGACAGCAGCAATACAGGCAAGATGCTTCATGGTGGTGATGATGATGATGAGCAGTATCATGCAAATGTGGATGGTGATGGTTTGGATTCCTCAGGGTATGATGATTATGAAGACTATTACTACAGAAGGTATGGAGATGTTCCAAGTCCAGGTATTGGCCATTGAATCGACACCTTCTCGAAAGAGCGCGCAGTTCATATGAGAACACATGCTTATAAGGGCTGGATGTCGTCCGATCGAGTGTCACGCATTTCGTGAAGCGCCCAATTTCTTATCCGACTGACGATGTTCGACCGTGATAAGCATGTTTTGCAAGTAAGAGTGAGGATTATAGAAAAAATTCCTCCTGCAAGATCTCTATAGTGCAGCATCCCCTTGATAAATAAGTAGAAGTTAGCTTTAGATTTCCTATACATGAACATTATGATTAAGATAGCAATGCTTAGTTTTCTTTGTCCCCCACGCCCTCTCTCTTCTATGTTTTATTTCTTTTTGTGGCTATTTGTACAAATGTAATTTGGTATGTGGTTGGGATGGGAATTTTGTATTCATTTGGCATAAATTTGGGATGCATCTCTGTCTCTTTTGTATTTCTTTTTGTACCATATCAAATACTATGCATGTTACTAGCGTTTTGTTACTAGTATTGTGATTTGTGAGCTTGATGATATTTACTTGGGTTGTTAGTTGATAATATTATATCGAAATTCTTTTATCAATCGTGTTTATGTGTTTAACGAAGGTATGTACCTTTTTATTTTACTTCATTTTTTTTATTTTGGTGGGAAGGTTATGGTGCGACAGATAGTGAGGCGGGTTGACGATACGTATTTTTAGTGTTCGTTATTATCTATAATTTATTGTGCATGTGATATTTTTATTAGATATTGTTATAGCGCGTTTCTTTTAGCTTACTATACCGTCTTATAGTGTAAGAGCGGGAGTTAGGGCAAGATTACGAGAACACTTCTTTCGAGGACTTTAATTCTTGAGTGTATTAAGATCCGATCCCTGTTACTGGGGACTACAGTTGTAGAGATCCATGGTAGCAATTCTCGAATGTATTAAGATTCGATCCATGCAATTGGAGACTACAGTTGTAGGGATCCATTATATTCTTCTCCATCGAGCCATCAATTCTTATATATACTAGCTCGCTCGCTAGTCACTCTGTTGAAACAACTCACCAACTCGTAATGAGCAAGCTTACGAATCGAGCTCAACAAGTCACCGTTCCAACTAGGGATGGCAATTTACCCACCCATGTGTAATTTTGCCCAAACCCAAGTAGACCCATTTATTATGGGTAGGGTTTGGGTGATGTTTGTATGGATTTGAGGTTTGTATATGGGTTTGGGTTAGATATGGATATTATCTAAATGGGTATGGGTTGGATATGGATATCCATTTACTTGAGGGTGTTTTAACTACAAATGCAAAAATTGGACTTATTTGTAAAACTTGAAAAATTTAGGTACCAAAACGTAAGACAAAAAAAATTTAGGTACCAAAACGTAATTTTCCATCGATATTTTGAGGACTTATATGCAAAAAAAAAATTAGGTACTAAATATGCATATCTATTAAGTTTAGGTACCAAACTGTAATTTATATTTGGGCATGGGTACAAACCCAAATCCATTTGTTATAAACCCAACCCAACCCAACCCAAAGTAAATGGGTATGGGTACAAACCCATCAAACTTTACCCATATACATATATTTGGATTTTATACACAATCCAATTGGGTTGGATAGTAAAATACCCATGGATATGGGCAAAATTGTCATCCCTAGTTCCAACCTGGCTCACCAATCTTCTAAACCGAATATATAACCGATAATAAGAAGTCTAATAACTAATAGGGCAATATCTATTTTTTACCCAAACCTTTTTCAGTTTCTTTTATTTTAACCAAACCTATAGAAATTCTATTTATTATCCAAACGTATTATAATTTATCAAAGTCTGGGCATTCATTCTGTTACCGTTACTTGTTTCGTCCACGTGAGGGGTGAGATTTTGTTTTGTTTTTTGATAATCTTTTTATTAAAAATAGTAAATGATGGTATTCTGACCGCCACGTAGGAAGTCAACTCATTATGGTCATACTTAGTCAGCATTACTAACAGAAAATTTGACGGAGAGTTAACGTTTGGATAATTTTTAGGAATTCAATAGGTTTGGTTAAAATAAAAGAATCTGAAAAAGGTTTGGGTAAAAAATAGACATTGCCCTAACTAATAAGAAGATCGGGGCTCAAAATGAAAATACCTGCGACCGTTTATAGTAGGCTCATTCGAAGGTTCAGAGCGACGAACAAAAGGTTACACAGACGGACAAGTGGAGCTTTTACAGTCATCAACCAGATCCTATTTACTCTCCATCACCCCGCAACCTTGGGATCAAATCCAGAAATGAAAATCCCAAATGCAAAACAGTGTAACCCTTTCAATCCCATCAGGAAAAAGAAGCAACCCGTTCATCAAATCAATTCCGCTTCGACTAACAGTTTTAATCGCCGCCGCAGCGTTCGCGATTTCCGATGGCGGAGCACGCCGACGAGCTCACCATCCCGATTCACTCCTCCCTCGATCCCGTCTACGGCGGCGGTCCCGAAGAGATCAAGCAAGCTCGCGTCCGATTCGACAATCTGAAGGCGGAGTTCGATCGAGTTTTCGGCCATCCGCCGGACATCTATTCCCGCTGTCCAGGTCTGAACTCCCCCTCTTTCTTCTCCCGTCTTCGCGTCAAATGGTACAACCTAGAACAATTCACGTTTTGAATTTTGATACGTCGTCGTTTTTTGGCGAAGGACGTGTGAATTTGTTGGGAGCGCATACTGCTAGAGAAGGCTGCTCGGTGTTGTCGACGGCGATTCAACGAGACACCATTGTCGCAATCTCCAAGCATTCTCCAAAAGAAGGGGAAAAGCTGCTGCGGATCGCGAATGTCGACGAGAAGAAGTACGCGATGTGCAGTTACCCTGCCGATCCTAATCAGGTTTCCTCCTTTTTCTTCCATTTCGAACAATAACAATCTCGCTGATGAAACGTATAGAAAACGATGAAGAATGTCGCGCAATGATCGTTTTAAAATTTTTCGCGAATTATCGTCGGGGGAATTCGTGATTGGTGCAGGCAGTGGACTTGAAGAATCGTAGTTGGGGTGATTACTTCATCTGCGGGTGAGATTGAAATGATTCTCTCATATTTTCCATAACCTAGTTTTGGAATGTGAATCTGTATACAGGACACTGCTAAACTCTGCTGTATAGGTACAAAGGTTACTATGAATATGCGAAAGCCAAAGGGAGAGACGTTGGAGACTCGGTTAGGTTCTTCGACGAATCGGTTGGGCTTGAGGTTATGGTTGATGGAGCTGTTCCAATTGGTATGTATATATGCAACGTTGCTAATGAACCAACTGGGTCTGCAACCCTAGAACACTTTCATAATCTAATGAATTGCTGTTTTTGTTTCGTTGTCTTGTTCGATTCATCAGGTTGGGGGCTGTCGAGCTCTGCAGCATTCGTTTGTTCAGCTACGGTCGCGATCATGGCTGCTTTCGGTGTCAGCTTCCCAAAGGTAAAAAACAAAACCCAACCAAGCGTTAGAAGTTTGTTGTACAATGAAGGTCGATCACCATGGAATCAATTGCTTCAAAAAATTGTACGCAGAAAGAAGTTGCTGAGGTGACTCGTGAATGTGAAAGCCACATAGGGAAAGGTCAATCTGCAGGAATGGACCAGGTTTGTAACCAGAGAGAAAATCACGTTCTTCATTGTTATATATGGAAACTACTAGCTAAGCTAGATGCTAATGAATTGGCCTGGCCTGTTCTGATTTAGCATGCAGCATCTATGGTGGCTAAAGCAGGATTTGCTGAGCTGATAGAATTCAATCCGGTTCGAGCAACTGATCATGTGCAGCTGCCGAAGGGTGCCACTTTCGTGATTGCACATTCTCTGGCCGACCAATCTCAGATGGCTGCAACTGGATACAATACCAGAGTTGTCGAATGTCGTTTAGCTGCTGTATGTGTGCAAAACTTCTGCGTTATTGGGATCAACTAGTTCTCGAAGCATAGAAATCACTTCCAGCAGTCTATCTCTTTACTGTGTACACTTCATTCTGTAATCTACATTTGTTTCTGCAGATCTTACTTGGAATAAACCTGGGAATGAAGCCAGAGGAGGCAAGATCAAGAATGCAAACTCTGTCTGATGTAGAGGGATTGGGTAAATCTGACCCACTTGCCTCTGTTAAGGTATGTATTACGCCATGATCACTCACCTTTGCTAATGTTCAACAATGGCATTTTGTGACTGCATACTGTAAAATCATTCATTACTGCACTTGTTAATTGTTCCTTCAGGAATTTCTGAAAGAGGTACCCTACACAGCCGAACAAATCGAGAACATCGTTGGAGAAAAATTGACATCCTTGTTCAGTACTTCGCCGTCGTCGATATTGGATGTGCTCAACTCAACCACGCAGTACAAGTTACACCAGAGAGCTGCGCATGTCTACTCAGAAGCAAAGCGGGTGCATGCGTTTAGGGACATAGCGTCAGGAAAGCTCAGGTGAACGTCGACAGCTATGAAAGATCAAAGCTTTACTTCTCTATTCGAATCCTGGTGAGCTGATGATGAACTATTTTGCAGCGATGAGGAGAAAATGAAGAAGCTAGGCGAGCTAATGAACGACAGCCATAAAAGCTGTACTTCTCTATACGAATCCAGGTGAGCTTGTTTAACCTTTTTTCAGAATTTCAGTACGATCGGGTAGCAAGCATGAAGCCATTTTAATTTTACAGTACTTGAACATTTTTTCACGGTGTATATATAGTTGCCCGGAGTTGGAAGAACTAGTGAAAGTCTGCCGGGACAATGGCGCCTTAGGGGCAAGGCTCACCGGCGGTGGATGGGGCGGTTGTGTGATTGCTCTGCTGAAGGAGGCCACCGTCCCACAGTTCATTCAAACGTTGAAGGTAATTAATTAATTATGTGCATATGTTACGTATTAATGTCGTGGCATACTCGTTTTATATTTTAACAATTAAGGTTTCTTAATTGTTTGATTATTCAATTTTTATTGCAGGAGAAATTTTATCAGTCAAGAGTCGAAAAGGGTGTAATTGGCAAGAACGATCTTGACCTCCATGTCTTTGCTTCCAAGCCTTCCAGCGGTGCTGCCATTTTCAAGTTCTAGAACGAACATTGGAGTTCCTTCCATGAATTTTTGGAATCAATTCACGGGGTTTGAAGCTCGTCAGATGAGCTCTAGTACTTTTTTGCATCTAGCTAGCTAGCTCCAGCCTTGGAGGATTTGTGCTTTACTTACTACTTTCGATTTTGAATGATTCGTTATGAAAATTTATGATAAGATCTATGCAATTCGATCTGTCACGATTTGATTAGGCTGAGTTTTATCCGATTTCAAATAGTGTAGGGTGGAGTATGGGTACTACTTTCGTCCAACCTTGTCCTTTCAATTACATTAAGATAAACTTTTAGACTGCGGAAAAGAAAAATTAACCAAAACCATTGGAGAGAGCCAGTTCAGTACAAAATGGTGCCCCATTAGAATCTTCGCCTTCTTACCTAGTTCCTCTAGCTGTATACATGAGCCATTATAAAAAGCATCGTTTTCCTGTATCTAAAACACCTCAAACAATAGTATTGTTGTCTACTCAAACCAAGCGAACCTCCTAAACAAAACACTTAACACAAAATGGTCCACATTGCCACCGTCAGGCCGGAGCTCCGAGTCGTCATGGTGCCTTCAAGAATGGAGTCAGGATTCTGGGTTCAGGAGGTCAGATTTTTTAGTATATTATCATAAAATACAAAAAATAAAATTATATAACAATATATTAATTATGTTAATTATGAAACCGTACAAGATGTTGTTTCAAATAATCATATTGGTTGTAGATATAATCTATTATGATTCAATATAAATGAGTAAAATACCCAAAAAAATCATTGATTTTCAGTTTGTAGAATGTTATTTAATATTAGTATTTGAACAAGAAAATAATCATTTATTTATAATAAAATTATTGTTAAAGATATAATTTATAGGTTAAAAAACTTATATGTTCAAGTGGAAAGTTAATCAAAGTATAAATTTCAAATAAAAAATTGATTTTCTAGCAAAATTAAAATTGGTTTTAAACTTATTGGAGAAAAGTTTATCTGATTATAACGAAAATAAAAGTATGTTAAAAATATGATAAATCATTAAGAAAAATGGAAAATGTAAAAAGTGAACAGTATAGCAATTAATGTTGGCTACGCCCCACTAGGCCAAATAATTACTTTTGTTACACTTTCCCCGAATACATATATTAGAAGCACTTAAGTTACTAGATAATTTTCGGAATACCTACGCATTCATACATAATTTTTGTAATTCCCGGGGATTGGGGGCCCCTTGGCCCTTAGTAGCTCCGCCCCTGGTGCCTTCCCCAAGTCAGGATAACCTGATTTCTGTTCGTGGAGCTAGCCAAATGTCTCCTCCATCGCCACAATTTCTTCGTCGCCATCATGGTCCCGTCAATGGTTTCGACATGAAACCCTAGCGCGAGCTCCTCCAGCCACCATCTCCCCTCTCTTCCTCTTGTTGGTCAGCCTGTTTGACGTCATCACTCGCGTCACCCTCACCATGATTCGTTCCCTCCCTTACATCGACGACTCCTTGAAGAGCCTACTCAATACTCCTACTGTGGTGGCCATCATAGTCGATTTCCTCGGTGCCAACACCCTCCAGGTGGCGGTGGAGCTCGACATCCCTCCTTATGTTTTCTACACGTGTGGTAAGTTCCACCTCACTCCAGGGCTGAAAAGCCCCCAATCTCGAGGTGATCCACCAGGGAAAACTCAGAGACCTGCCCGAGCCTTCGGACTGCCTAGTTGCATTCCGCTTATTGGTCAGGATCTTCTCGACCCGTTTCTCAACTAGAAGAACAATGCTTACAAGTGGATGGTCAACTACTTTATGGACTTGGAGAGTGAATTTTTCAAAGCTCTAGCTAAGAAATGAGGTCAAACCGGTTCTGGCCTCTTGGTTTACCCTACCGAGCCAGTACCACGGCTCGAGTCGGATGACCCAGCCGAGATGAGTACCGACTTGGTGGAGTGCTTGAATTAGATTGGCTCTATTTCCTGGGCCCATATTTAGAGCCCACAAACCTTGTGGATCTTTTAAAACCCCGGCCCTTTTACTTTTAGGTGTGACGTTTAGTCTAGTACCGAGCTCTGTAACTGAGGGGAAAAAAACCTTGGCGGGAGAAGTCAGCAGGCACAGCAGACTTCACTCAGCGAGACGAGCTTAGATCGCTGCAATCAAAGCTTTACTTATGGAGAAATCACTGGCAACACTTGACAACGGCACGACGTGCTCCGCGTGGAACTACTCCGGCCAGCGGTTGGCCACCGGCTCCGTAGACGGGACGCTTTCAATCTTCGATTCCTGCGACCCTGCTTCTACGTCTTTCAAATGTACCTCCAAAGCTAGGGTTAGTAAATTTCCGCCGAAAATTTGAGTCTTTTCCAGCGAGCTCTTAGCTGCCTCCATGTGATTTCCGATTGGTGTTCTTCGTGTTAATTGAAATTTGGTTTAGGTGGGTGAGAGTGGTGTTGTGAAGGTAGTATGGATTCCGCCGCTATTTGGCGATGCAGTGGCTTGCATTGACGGGAATGGAAGCTCGTCTCTATGGGAAGAGTTGGCTGAAGGTTTTTCTCCGTTTGGACTGCTTTTTTGCTGTTATAAAATACCTTACGGAGAGTTTCAGATTAGGTTGTTGATAGTGTTGGCCTTTGTTTGTGTAGATGCGCAAGCTGTTGAATGGAAGCACTGCAAAAGCTTTCAGAGCAACTCTGCTAAAGTGTTGGATGTTCAATTCGGAGTTTTCCGGACCATTTTGAAGATGGTGAATTCTCGTGATTCATTCGTTTTTCGCTGTTGTATTAATGGTTGGAAAGTATGTTCAATTGGTGATTGTCTTTGTTTGTAGCTCGCAGGTTGTTGCATATTCAGGTGGTCAGGTGAAAGTGTACGAGCTCTCTAATCCATTAGAGTTGAAGAACTGGCAGCTTCAGGTTTAGATGTTCGATTGTGTCAATTGTAGCATTATTGTAGAGCAGGGATGATAGGCTTTTGCTCATTTCTCCTGCTAATGTGCTTTTATTTTTCCAATGCATCAGGCTGAGTTTCAGAATTTGACTGATTCAGTAGCTAAATTAGCCAAGGCTTCATGCTTCTCTGCTTCCGTTTCTTGGAATCCACAAAGGGGCGATGGCCAGGAGATGAGCTTTGTCTTAGGCTTCAATTCGGATACACCGCAACTCAACTCTTCCAAGGTTATAGGAAACCTAACCTAAGTTCTTGTCTTTTTTTGTTGCCATTGGCAAAAGGAACTGTGAACATCAACTTGACTTAGATCCTTCAATAAGATATGGTAATCATATATGAAGAAAAGAAGAGGAGAGGAAATGAGATGATTTTGGACATAATTCATATGAAATGTTAGAAAGGCAAAATAAAGTGGCTTACATAAGTTTGACCTCATTGTTTGAGATCCTTAGTAGTGAAACGAATTCTGAAATAGAAGTCGCAGGTTGTTTGATTGACTGTGTTTGGAAGAGTGATATCTTCAATAACATGTATTAGGCATATATATTATTTTCCTTGACAATTTTGATGTATTTGAGTGCACTTGAAATTACCCATGCATCTCAAATATTTGATAAGTAGGAAGTATTTGAAAATGCAATCTAGAAAAGTAGGTCGGCTATTGTCTTTTAACCTTTCTGACACAATATCATGCACAATTGCACTGAATCAAATAATGTCTCTGAAAATATACCTCATATAATACAATGCAAAACGGATGGCATGCCATCGGGAATAATAACATCAATTTGCAATACTAAACACACCCGAAAGACCCGATATGCCTGATAACTCAGAGTCCTTGGCATGATGAGTCACAAGCGTCTCTTGACAGGCATTCTGTCTTCCTTGGATAAAGAATTTAGCTTTTAGGAAAAAAGGTTTTCATTTACCTGGGCTGGTTCATGTCCACAGTAATTCATGATTGTCAAGTTTCATCTAGCTGACCAGGTTCAGACTTGACAGGTGTGGGAGTTCGATCTAGACCACCAACGATGGGTCCCAGTGGCCGAGCTTGCTTTACCTGAAGATAGAAAAGATCAGGTGTTCTCTGTTGCCTGGGCACCAAACATCGGCAGGTGATTACTTAAACATCTGAAATGCCAGAACATATAAATTTGTAAAAGTTCGTATCTATTTAAACCAAGCCTTCCTATTTTTGTAAGGCCATATGAGGTCATTGCTGTTGCTACTCACAAGGGAATTGCCATATGGCATCTGGGATCGAACCCCGACACCGATGGCAGACTTTCAGTGGAGAGGGTTGCTTTACTCTCCGGCTATGAAGCAGAGGTACCATGACCACAGTGGTTTCGAAACTAGCAATGCAAATACCACTCGGTCTCATTTGTCTTCCTGAAACCATGTGAACGTTTTACCCATGTAGGTTTGGCAAATGGAATGGGATATGAGCGGGATGACTCTAGCGACCACAGGGACTGATGGAATGGTGAGACTCTGGCAGTCCAACTTGAACGGTATCTGGCACGAACAAGCCGCATTTGAGCCCGCTACCTAGTTCCTGCATTCTTGGCATCATGTGGTCTATATAGATTCCTTTGTGGAGTCCTAGCTTCCTCTCTCTCTCTATCTATCACTATCAGGCGTTTGAAGCGGTCATTGCTCTGTAACACCATGGAACCAGCTCACAGCTGCTTTTCTCCCTTTCTTGCGTCGTGTGTTGTCGTTCATGTTTAAACCCAGCATTCCTTTTGTATCTTGGTGCTTACCATTGGAAAGGAAGAAAGAAGGCTTAGCTGGTTTCTCCAGTAGAAGTGTCCCCTTTTTGATTGGTTGACCTTTTCAATCGATGATTCCGTGGGACAAAGGTTCATCTTGTCCATTACATTGTTTATTACCAGGTAAAACTAGCTGAACCGTGGCTTCTGCTAGGAGAATGTTTTGAAGGACAAAGTGTTGAAGCATATACTTGGCTGTCTAGTTTTTGTGTCTTATTGTCAAGATAAGTACTAATTTGTGTGTTGGTGTGTATGTTGTGCCTAGTTGATCGAATAACAAACTTCTCATTAAATACGATCTGAGTATTTCGGCGTCTGATTTTTGTCTTAGGAGCCTGATGGTTGGAGAATGATATGAATCTCACTGTGCATCAGCTACTGCAGAAGTCAGTGAGGTCATTCTGATCAATTTGTGCCATCAGCTACTGCAGAAGTCAGTGAGGTCATTCTGATCAATTTGTGCCATCAGCTTGTTTTGATAAATCTTGTTTACCTTGTAAAAGATCAACAAATTGTGTGGGCATATAATTTGCTTATTTCAATAATTTCCACTATGTTTTTTTTCTTCTTCCTTTTACCTGTTGTCAATGTTTGAAAATTTCCTCTTCTTTGTTGGTTTTTTGTTTCAATAGATAGCTCCATTCAATTACGAAGAAGACAGAAAGCATTTGTTTCATTCGCAGGTTGTTCGTGGGATGTTTTTGAGGCTTTTCCAAAAATTTTCCGGCAGCTAATCCTATTCCAATACGGCTGAGATGCTGAATTGCTGATGGTAAAAGCACATTCTTTCACTTCATTTATTTATTTAATAAATATTTGAGTTTTTCAAAACATTTACCTGAACCTCAATTTTTCGTTAACCGGAAATTACAAGACCGGCCGGTTCGGCCACGATGCTGATGGGGCATAGCAATCAAGAACCGGCCATAATTAGTGCAAGCTATATACCCCATCAGCATCGTGACCGGACCGGCCGAATCGACGATTAGAAACACAGATCCATCGAAAAGTTTCCAGTGAAACTTGTTTGCTGCAAAGGGGAGAGAAGCGACGGTGCTGATGGGGGAACCAGGTGTGATTTGTGAATCGATCAAGCATCGCAACTGAAGTCATCTTTCGGTGGCGTAATTACGAGGAATCTGCCACACGAATTGCTCCAACGACGATTTTGGATCGTAGGCAGAGAGAATTGTCGCAGAGATAAACTCATCGAGCGAAGAGATCAATGAAGGAGCTCTTAAAACCTATTAATCGCACCTCACAACATTTGACAAAAACAACTGATTCGTAATCTTGGTGAACACAACATCTTCTTCAGCATCAATCAAACGACTTCGGTCTTCGCTCCTTCTCGAGGCCACAACCGAGCAATTGACACAGTTGCTGTACGAAATGAACCGGCTGAATGATTATTCGATCTCTTAAGTTTCTCCGGGATGGTTGAATTAGATAACGTTTATCAAAGAAAGAGTTCTCCAAAATGGTCCTTAACTCGAAACAAAATAATAAGAAATTGTAACAGAAGTTGGCAAAACAATAAACCGAGACACTTGGTATTGGCGGGAACCGCCATGGGAGAGGATATCCATTATATTAAATGTTTTGTCGCCATGTAACAAAACCGAATTTGTAAGCTTAACCAAACCTCCTCCTCCTCCTCTTCTTCTCCCCTATAAAATCAGCTTTCCTCTCCACACTCCAATGCACCACTCTCCACAATTACAGTAATGGAGAAATCCCAAATCAGAGTTTGCGTCACGGGAGGCTCTGGCTTCATCGGCTCCTCCCTCGTCAAGAAACTGCTGGAAAAGGGCTACACCGTCCACGCCACCCTCCGCAATCTCGGTCGGTTAAAATCCCCATTACCCACTTCCCACGAGATTTTACTTCAATTCGATTCAATCAAATTCCTGAAGAAATCGTGGCTCCAATTTAATTTAATTATCTCTCTGATCATTCTGCAAATGGCAGAGGACAAGGCGAAAGTGGGTCTCCTGACTTCCCTCCATAACGCCGAGACCAATTTGGTCCTCTTCGAAGCCGACATCTACAACCCAGATCAGTTCCAAGCCGCCATTAATGGCTGCGAATTCGTTTTCCAAGTCGCTTACCCTCTCCAACACAACCAGAACAGCTCCACGGTCTGTCTGTAAAACTATTTCATCTGGGTACTCTGTTTTTACATCTGGGTACTCTGTTTTTTTTTTTCCCTCCTTCCCTTCCCCCCTTTCCGAAATTGACAAAGAAACAAAAAAACCCCTGCAGTACAAGGACAGGATGGAAGCCATGGCTGCCGGGTCGAAGAGCATAGCGGAAAGCTGCATCAAATCTGGAACCGTGAAGCGGCTGATATACACGGCCTCTGTCATGGCGGCGTCGCCCCTGTTTCAGGACGGAGTCGGTTACGGTGACGCCATTGATGAGTCATGTTGGACACCTCTCAACGTCTCTTTCAAATACTGCGATACTTTCACCTTGGTACAGCTCATCCCCTTTCCTTTCCCGTCTTTGCCCTTGTTTCTCTACAAATTGGTTAATATATGCAATCGATGAAAAGGTTTAGGTTAACTAGGAATGGCAATGAGCAGGTACGGGGCGGGTTGCTTGATATCCAGACCCGTTCCGTGGCAGGGCGGGTCCAGGGCGGGTAACTGATTACGGGCCGCGGGTTGGGGCAGGTCGACCCAATGAGTATGCAATTTATACGAAAAACATTAGAAATATTCGTTATTTTTATTATAAAACTAAGAAAACAAACAATATTATGACAATTGTAGTTAAATTATTGGAGAAATTGAGGTTTTCACTAATTTACAAATTTATTATAGCTAAAATATGATGCAATAAAAGGAAAATTCAAAGTAATTTCACTAAGATTTCATGTAATTTAGACAAGAACAGGTCGAGAATGGAACGGGTCAGGGCAGGTCGGGTCGATGAGACTACCCATGCCCGCCCTGCCCCATTTACGGGGCGGGTCGGACCCGCCCAAAACAGGTCAAACAGATCGGGTAAAACGAGTCATGTCGAAATTGCCATCCCTAAGAGGAACAGAGTGTGCTTCTGGAAATTGAAAACAGAGTCACCACCAGCAGCCCCCCGGTAAAAAAATTGGCTGCAATTCCAATTCCAAATTTCTGACCTTGGTGCTACTGCTACAGTAAGAAAAACGTTGACTTTTAACGACGAATTTTTGAATTTCGTGCTGTCGTTGTGTACAAGGTTTAATTAGTCAACCTCCCTAAGAAATTGGCATGTTGATGTTAACGAACGTTGTTGACATGTTATTGGAATTCTTAATCCAACAGTTCTTTTTTTTTAGTGTTTTTGTTGCCAACTTTTAAGGTTGAGGATACTGAAGTACGAGGAAAAGAAGAGGAAATACACATTTGATACACTTCGAGAAAGTAGCCGGTGATGTTTGAGATATAATTATTAGAGATCAAGTCGATTTTTAAAGATCGTAATGTCTATAAAAAAAAATGAAATTTGAATCATTTATGAATTGAAATACACGTACATCTCGAACATTTTTTCAAGCTTCGGCTACTAAACAGCATTCGGCTACTAGCGTAACTGGTTCAAGCTTTTATATCTCATGATATTCAAGCTTATTTACGTATAGGGGTGGCTATACGGTCCGGTCCGGTTAAATTGGACTAAATTGATCCGGTCCCAGTCCGGTCTTTTCGGGAATATAAGGACCAAAAATTGAAATGGATACAATCCGGTCTTGACCGGTCCGGTCCTAATTTGATCTTGATTTTAAGTGTTGGGGGTCTCTTATCCGGTTTTTTTAACCTCAAATCTAAGCCCGAATATGAGATTGGATTGTTTGCTATCCGGTCCCAGTCCAGTCCCGATCCGGATTATACGGTCCGATTTCGGATAAAACCAAACAGTCCCGGACCAATTTGTCAGCCCTATTTACGTAAGAAAAAATCATCGAGATTAATAAAAAAAAATTTTGTTTGAGATATACATTCTTTTATTTTTCAACTATCCAAATAACCATAATCAATTAAGTCTTGACGTGACAACATTATAAGACAATCATGATTGTCCAAGCTTAAGAATTGTATGAGCTGATTATAACATGTTTGTTTTTCTCACACTATTTTTTTTGTTCGGTTGGGGCGGAAAACAAAGGAATACACGAGGGGAAAGACTGTGGCGGAGAAAGAAGTGCTGAAGTACAACGACGCCGCCGCCGGCGGGAAGCTGGAAGTGGTGAGCCTGGTGACGGGACTGGTCGGAGGTGACACGATTCTCTCGCACGTGCCGACGAGCGTGGAGGTGATCGTCTCTCCGGCGACCGGGAACTTGTTCGGCTACAACCACGGGCTGATGCTGATACAGGAGTTGTTGGGATCGGTGCCGCTCGTCCACGTGGAAGACGCCTGTGAAGCGCTGGTTTTCTGCGTGGAGGGTGAGAAGACGGCGTCGCTTAAGGGCAGGTTTCTGTGCGCAGCTGGCAGCCTGAGCGTCAGGGAAATCGCCACGTGTATCCGGGGCCGCCATCCGGAGTGCCACGTGGATGCCACGTAAGAAGATGAGCTTGTTTGTTTGTTTGTTTTGTGGAGATGGTGAGTAAGTTTTTAGTGGTTTTTGAGGTTTGGATATTTTGGGCAGGATGATGGGTGAAGATGGGAAAGGAATCAAGCTGGACAATTCGAAGCTCGTGGAGATGGGGTTTAGGTACAAGTACGATGCAAAGGGTGTTATCGAGGAGAGCTTGGAGTGTGCCAAACGCCTTGGGTGCTCTTCCTGACCTAGCTCGTTAGAGAGCTTTTTCTCGACGACTGTTGCTGGAGTTCAGTCGCTCGTGTATTTTAAAAAATTTCTCGGGGAATTCGAAAATTAGAATGGTTGTTCACAGTGAGTCTGGTTTAATGATGATCGTTAGTTGTTAATTACTAAGAATCAGTTGTCGTGGTTTAGATCGCACAATAACTAGCTTTGTGATTGATAGGCTTGAGTTGAGCATGTGTTTCAAGGAGAGTGACCAATTATCTTGTTTGTGTAGGTCACATTTAAGATTTGAGTGAATAGTATTTGATGCTTCATGTGATGTGTTGGGTTATCAGCTGTACAATGATAAAATTTGAGGTTGAAACCATCAGAGTTATTTACTGAAGGTCGCGAAAGCTTTATTTACTGAAGGTCGCGAAAAGCTTTAAAAGGATCTAATTGTCAGAAAAACAGTAAGAGTTATAGGATTATTAAATTGGTGTGTTGTGATCAATTCATATATTATATTATACATGTATTGCTCTATTTGATGTATTGTAGATTAGAGTGTTCAGTATATGTGTTTGTGTTTTCAATAGGTAAAAAAAGAAATCACTTTTTAATTGAAATGTCACTTATACTCTTTCTTTTCAATGCAAAAGATAATTTCTCAAGGTTAAAGTTGGAAGCAAATAATCTCAACTACACAATCCAACAATGTAAGCTTTTAGCAGAGATTGTACAATCATTTATACTGGATGATTGTTTAAGTCACATCAAATAAACAATACATATATTGTCTGTGCATAAAAAGTAGTGAAAACGATGAATTGTAAACAATACAAGTATTGTAACAATGACAGAAACTAAACGAGCTGATTGTCACAAATTTAACCATACAAAACAAAGTTTTGTAGTAAACCTATGCGAATTGTGAAATTTGTAACCTACCCACTGCAATTCTTCTGTAATATAAATAAGAGCCCAAACCTAGAGGCCCAAGACGCCCATCCAGTTTTATCAACCAGTTAATGTAACCTACCCACTGGAATTCTGCTTTAATAAAAGCCCAAAGCAAGAGGCCCATTCAGTTCTATCGACCAGTTAATTAACTGACAGCAATTTCCGTCCACGAAATTAGAAACACGCAGCTTCTTCGTCTCCCCCAATTTTCTAATCCCAGTTTTCCCGGTCATACCGACGTCTGCCGAGCGAAGGTCCTTTTTTGATCATGAATACCACCTGCTGCCGGCGACCGCAATTCGCAGTAGCACCCACTTCTCCGCTCCCAGTTTCAGTGGTGGGTTCTCGATTTCTCCTCCCAATCCCCCACCAAGAACCCTGGAGAACGGGAGCTGATTCCAGGTATTGCAGAGGGATTAAAACGACTGGTGGCAGAGGAGAAAGGTTTGTTTGTAGCGTATGGTTCCTGCCTGTGGATCCATGGGCGCCAAACATTGATTCACAGAGCATTGCCCCTCAGCTCTTCGCACTCTCTTTGTTCCCGTACATTGCTTTCTTGTACTTCCTCACCAAGTCCAAGACTGCTCCAGGGCTCACCCTCTTCGGATTCTACTTCTTGCTCGCCTTTGTGGGCGCTACAAGTTAGTTCTATTAAAAGAGCAACTCCTTTTTTCCCCCTACTTCAATTTCCTTTTGTTCACTGCTTCTTAGCGGTGAAATACAGTTCATTCGACTATGTTGAGGATGAAATGATTGGATGAAGGAACAAGATTTGATTTTTTTGTTTGGGTAGGGAGCTTAATGTTTAACCCAACACTGATGGGTTTTTTCTCTTTTGTTCCTTCATGGTTTCCAATGATGGATGATTGTTGCAGTTCCAGCAGGAATCTATGGTAATCTTTTGCTGACTTCTCTCATTCAATTCAATTCAATTGCTTGTTTATGATTCCTAGTTGCGAACTGATCCTGATAAACGATGCTGGCTTCATTTGAGTCAGCAAAAGTGCAGTACGGAACTTCCTTGTCTAATGTGGATTGGCTGCATGGTGGGGCTGAATCACTTCTCACCTTAACAAACATATTCATCGTCCTGGGCTTGAGGCAAGCACTTAGGAAAAGGGACGAATCAGAGAAGAAGGACCTCTGACTAGCTGCTTGATCCATGGATGCTTAGTCTCTGCTCTTCTTGTGCATGCTTTACGACAGTTGTAGCAATGGCGTCATCACCAAATCAGCTTTTTGCTTGATCAGGAGGTACCCTGATGTCCGCGCATATAATCGAAATCATGAGTGGCTGTTCATGTGCTAATCTAATGTACTGCTCAAGCATTAATGAAATTTGCTGTCATTGAGTATGTTGTAGTTCTCTCTTCATGGAACCTCTAGAAATCGATTCTTCTTACTGCGTATGTTCACAGAGTGGAGGTGAAAGGCTATTCTTGTCTTGGTTATAATCCCATCTGTTGGTGGAGCTTGTAACATCTAAGCTACGAAAGGGTTCTTCAGTCATGTGTTATTACACAGAACTTGCCATTCAATACTAGCCAGTTACTGCTGTTATTGCTACATCAAAACTCAGCTGCAAGAGCTATAGCTAGTCTGCTTTACACACACGTCTTTCTTTTCCTGTCTTTATGATACAATCTAAAGATCAACCTGCAACTAAATTTGTGTCCGTTCTTATCGTCCCTGACTGACCATAGTGAGAGAGAGAATCAAGAGAAATATCCGGGGGCATACGAGAAGCTCGGAACCAGTTCGAATGGCTCAAGTTGGAAATCCAAGTCCAGCATTGGAGAACTGGTAGCTGAAGTTTGAGCTGAGAGTATCTCAGCCAAATCTGAATCCGAATGCTGCAAAGTCTGTGCCCATCCAGAGCTGTTCACAAATGGAGAAACATGGTAGTAGTTTGGTTCTGGCGTGGCTGGTGAGAGAAACGACTGGGAGAAGTTGCTATTTTGGCATTCATATGTGGAAGGAAAAGCGAAAGGCACTGCCTCTCTCTTGTCCAAATCCCGAGTATCAACTTTCAGACCCTTCTGCAAGTTAAGCAAAGCTTCTCCAGGCGGTGGCTGCTGTTGATTGCTGCTGCTGAAATTGTGCTTGATCTGTTCTTTTTTCTCTGGTGATGCTGGTGGTGGTGTTGCAACTGTTTGCTGTTGGCCAAAGGAACAGCTGTGTTGTCCCCTATATGTGACCTCAAAGATGGTAGGGTCTTCATCTGATCTCTGAACTTGCTTGATAGCCCAGCAGTTTTGTGTGTTCCTGTATGTGCACCTATAATAGCTTCTGCAAAGACCAAGCAAAACACTAGTAAGTTTCCACTTCTTTTGGTTTCAGTCTTTGGTATTGTTAAAATAGGGTAAATGACACATTTGGTCACTGAGATTATTAAATTGTGTCATGTTTAGTCACTAGAAAAAATTAATATCAATTTTGGTCACTCGAATTACCGAAACTGGTCAAATTTAGTCACTCTCCCGTCAGTTTCCGTCCAACTCCATTAATGTAGTTGGACGGAAACTTTTGGGAGAGTGACTAAATGTGACATGTTTCAGTAATCCGAGTGACTAAATGTGACATTTTTCAATAATTCGAGTGACCGGAGTTGGACAGAAGCTACAGAAGAGTGACCAAATGTGACTTGTTTCAGTAATTCGAGTGACCAAAATTAATATTAAATTTTTCTAGTGACTAAATATGACACGATTTAGTAATCTCAGTGACCAAATGTGTCATTTACCCAACTCTTTTTTACCCTTTTTATGAAAAAGAGTTTAGATGGGTGTTGAACATTTCAACATTTGACTTTTCAACGATGGAGAGGGTTGACGTGGTTAGACCCAAAAGACTACTTGACAGGTTTTACTTGCATTAATGATTACTTAAATTCTTTAACAGAATGATAACATACACTTACGAAATTGACTATCCATCCATTTGGGTCATATGAATTGGTAACATGAGTAAGGTTGGGATTTGATTGAGTTTCATATCAGCGTGTTGGACAGTTCGTCTGTTGTTTTAATTTGTGTAGCATGACATACTGATGTATCTAATTTAACAAAATGAAAAAACAACCATTTTGTTAGTTACTAACTAACCCTTTCTTTCTCCTACTGATGTTTGTTTGTTGTATTGGGCCTTTGCTTGTGTGGATGGGATATGACACCATCCCACCAGCTATTTGGTTTACTTTTTGGGAACTTGTGGATATAGAATCCGTACACAGTAGAAGTGTACCTGGGATATTTGGCTCCTAGAATGTCTTTCTGGCCATACTTCCTCCAGCTATAGCCATCATCAATTGGACCTTCCAATCCATTCTCAGAGCTGACTTTAACTTGATCTGTCCACCTGGGCATTGTCTTTCTGCAGGGAAACACCAAAAGTTATTAGCCATCAATCAACTACCATTTAGCTTCTGCAGAATTTCATAGCCCAGAAGAAGCAAAGAACTCACCTCTTCTTGGAGGCATTAATGGGAGCTTGATGATCCTTGGTTCCATCAAAATCCTCACTCCTAGGACTTCCATTCGTAGACAATGGAGATCCAGGAACCCCAGAACCAGAACCAGTAGCTGCAGCAGCTACTGTTGCAGTAACAGCAGCAGCTTGCAGAGGTTGATGTCCAACTGATCCACTCCAATTGAGAATCAGCAGAGCCTTCTCATAAGAAGACAAGATCCTCTGCACTAAAATCTCAGCATTCTCAACCGAAGATGACCCCTTGAGATGAAAGCTCAGCTGTTTTGCAAATTCCATCCCTTGAATTAGCTCATTCACCAGTGTTCTCTGCTCCCAGCTCCACCCTCCTCCTTCCATCAGTCTGCTCTTTCTTTTCTTTGGCTACCCCAATTTTTTTATAAACCAGCCAATCTCCAACAGAAACAAACCGACAAGCAGCGTCAGCAGCCTTCAAGCATAATCTAGAATCGAGCCACTTGGTTCGTCAGAAGCGAAAGCTTCAAACTTCTGCAGAATGTTGCTGTGATCAGAGAATTGGGATGACCAGAGTTGGGAATATGAATCAGGAAGAACACCCAATACCATGGAAGTACCTTGAGTGAGAAGTAAGAACCAGAAAACGGTAATGGGTAGCAGAAAGTTTGAATCTTTTTTGCTTCTGCTTGGTGGGTTTGGAAGATGAGAAGGTAGGATGGAGAGTGAAGAAGGGATCCATGAGCTATATATACATGCACACATGGTGGACACTGTTGGAAGTTTGAATATTTGACTGTGGAGAGAAACCGAGTTATTTTATTCAATTCTTGGACTAGTCTTTGGTCACCCAGAAGAGGATATTGAAGAAGAGCTTGTTTGAGTGTGTGTGTGGTAGTGGTGGAATAGAGAGATTTGGGATTGGGAAGGGTCCAAAGTGAAAAGTGCTGACCAATTCAAACCCCCTGCAACACTTCAGGTTTGGAAAAAATCGGCTCTTCTTTCCTTTTGATTCCTTTGGTTTTTTTCTGGTTGGTTTCCTTTTAGGAGAGTGAATGATTGAAGCTTGGACTCTAAAGGGGAGAGAGCATTTAATTTTGTTTTTGGGGAAGTCAATGTTTCTAAGAAGTAATAGATTAGTAAAGGGGAGAAGGAAAAAAAAGTGGGTTGCTGAGAAAATTCAAACCAGATTACGCGTAGGCATAGTTTTATTTAGTTCATGTGGGTGTGATTGGGATTAGAATCACATGGCTTTTGGGGTTTAAGAATTGATTATCTGCTCTAATCTTTTGTTTGTTCCTAACAAACTTCAATTCGTTTAGTTAATGAACTCAGTAGCACTCAATGAGGAACTGATTTGTTAAATCAAGTAGGATGGGCTAATAGTAGTAATAGATAATAATATTAGAGGTTGTTTGAACGTGAAATTTTGGTGTGGAATTGGAGTTGAATACAACAAAATGTGGCGATTAGGTAAAAATTCATGTTTACCTAGACAAAACTAGTGTGGGAATTGAGTCATGGTAATTTGGGCCAAATCTCACACAATTCTGTCCCTCTTCTTCTTTTCCATCATTTTCCACTCCCATCTCACAAATGAAGGGTTAAATTTGTATTTTAATCAAATTTCACATTATTAATTTCCATGTTTTTAAACTCATTTCAAACATGAAAATTTAGTCCATTTTCGCTTTACATTTCTCAGGTATCTATAATGTGGGAATCAAGATCAATTCCCATTTTTCTAAATGTCCACAGTCGAACGACCCCTTAGTCACTCGGGGGTTTAAAACAAAGTGCATATTTTGATACAAATTTTGGTGAGTACCTACTCGGAGAATATTAGTATTTTTATGAATTTACCTAGGGTACATCCGATATACCTTCGAGCTATTATAACACATTGATTTAGAGTCTCGATATGGTATGGCAAGTTTGACAACTCGTATCACATGAATTGAAATATTCATTATATAGCTCTCATTAAGATATGTTTTATCTTAAAATAGTTGGAAAGCTAATTTTAGGCAAGTGTTGAGTAACATATTTTCAATGGCATTCATCAATGAATAAAGGTGTGATTTGGAATTAAGAGCATCTTCATCTAGAAGAGTACCCATCAGCCACTTAAATAAGTGCAAGAGGTCAGTGGTCTTCTTGTGGAATAATTGACAGGAGAAATGGTCAAATTTCCGGCTGGACCAATCAATTCTAGGCTGAACCAACAACCACAATGGCCCACTTAGTGCTCTGAAAATGTTGGGCCCTCACTGCACAAAATGCTTAGCGGGCCTGAACCCATCATAAAGTTAGGCTTCTTTGACCAGGTCCTCGCTTCCATCCCAGTAAAAGCCCATCTAGCTATGGTCACTTATCCTCCATTTCCATCTCAAACCAAAGAAGAGTAAGAAGTGTGCTTTATCCCACAAACATAGTAGCGGTTCACTTCCACATGCTTGATTAGGCTGGAAGTTTGGTACCGGTATTTGGGATATATCGAATACCGTACCGAATTTGTCTATATTTGGTATTACCGAATACACGTTTTATTTTGTGGGATTGGGATTGGGATTGAATTTCAATTGTTATTTGGTATTAGGGATTACGAGATTGGGATCGGTATATATACCGAAATACCGATCAATGCCGAAATATAAGCTAGTGTGTATTTAATCCTCTCAACTAGACTCTCTCATTCACTACTACGCGACCATCAACCACCAAATTCATCATTTAATTATACATAGATCATTACATCACTATTCACACTAGTATTAGTCGTCTCTCAACCTCAAATTCGTCAAATTAAAGATTACCAATTACAAGAATTTGAGATGTTAGCTCTAGGCAACTCAAGACTATTTGCTTAGTCTCTTTGCCCTAAATTAAACAATAAAATATAATTTATATATTTAATTATTAATTGTAAAGGTAATTAATTATGTATTCGTTAATACCGATTGGGATACCGAGATACCGATTGGGATACCGAAATTATTTAGGGATTGGGATTGGGATACCGAAATTATTTAGGGATTGGGATTGGGATTGATTTTAGGGTGTAATTTGGTATTCGGGATTTCGGTATTTGGTATTGGGATACCGATACCGTACCGATTTCTAC